TTCCTGGAAACATAGAATATGGAGGCGAAATATTCGCCAAGATTGAGGAACTGCGGGTTCCCTGAACACTCTTGATGAATACAAATATCCGGGTATCTCCGGGTATATTATAAATATAAATAAAATATATACACTCGTGAGTTCGGCGGAATAGGCTTCTTCTAATTTAGCAGTTTAGAAGAAGGCAGTGCAAGTCATTTGTCACTGTCGACAAATAGCAAGTTGAAAAGGAGAAATGCGCAATAACGACCGTCACGCATTAATGCGGGCCGACGTGAGAGAGGGGGAACCAAAACAAAAAGGGGAACAGCTGCAAGGAAACGGATACCTTGTAGAGAAGGATCTCTCTCCATATATGGAAAAAAGAAAATAATCGCAATTCGGTTTCTGGGTTACAAACTCACGCTAGGCAAAAATAAAAACAGGTTCCATCGTTTTTCTAGGTAACAAATCAGGGCTTCGACAGAGGAAAAGCTTGACAGGTGCCGACTTGGCGTCGACAAAATCTTTGTTATTGTCAAGTGCTTTGAAGTGCCCGATTCTCACAAGTGCGAGTGTTTTCGAAAAACGACAAAGAGAAAAAACCAATCGTTCTCAAGGTCTTGTTTTACGACGGTTTCTCTGAGTCAAGCCTTCTTCAGGACAGAAAATCGAACCTGAGGTCTTCAGTGCCAATCGACAGTCGGAGCTGTCGACACGAACGGTTTCTGGGTTACACAATCAATACGGTGAGATCAGATTGAAAAGCGGTTTCAGCGAAAGAATCCCGAATCTGATGTTCTGAACAAAAAGGAGGGATAAATATAATTCATAACTGCACCACTATTATTCCTCAATAGACCTGAATCGTATAAAAATAATCATTAACAAGAAGTGCTAATTTTGTGGGATTGATATGGCATATTTTCTGGAAATTTCCGGTGACACTCATTAGAAACTATTTATTTCGAAGTTCATAAAGTGGTAGCTTTTCGAATCTCTTAATTCTTGAATACGGGAACCTTTATTGACAGCAGAACACGGTATACAATTTCAATTAAAAGCTCGAGAAAAAGCATCTTCTTGAAGCGAAATGCTGCGATTGCTTCTTCATTTTTATTTTTACCGAGTTAGATGACGATCCTGCTAGAAAGAAGTTATGACCTCGTAGGGAGCAGTCTTTTTTTTTACACCTTGATTATTCGCTACACTTGTTCGGGGGATCGAATACCATATATGGATCATTCAGAAATATTAATACGCGAATATAGCAAAATTTAAAGGGACAACCCTTGTATGATCCTCTTGTTCGGAAGATTGGAATCGGAATAGAATTAATCTGCGTAGTTTTGAGCGGCGAGATCCCGCTGCTGAGGATACTGACATTTGGAGAAACAATCCCGAGAGTTTGGCAAGCATGCAGACTCGCGTCGTCCCCCGAAAGAAAGGATCCCTGAGTTTGTTGCTGAGCCCCCCGCTAAGATCCGAATCTTCATTTAGCCCCATACCCCTACGCTTCGGCCACGACATTCCACTGAACCCGGCCGCAGTTATCATAACTTTAATCAACCAGGACGTGCGCTGTGGACTCCTCGTCGCAATCACGACTTTCCGGCGGGGTACTAAAACGCGGGAGCCACCGGGAAGCAGAATCGCATGCTTCTTCCAATTTACGCACCGCGTGGGACGAGGGCCGATAGCTGTTGCGTCTTATGGGCGCAGACATTTCGGCCTGTCGATGTGCCTCGCGAGAGAGAGGCCGACATGATGAAGTGCGTTGCTGCTCTCATGGCGCGAGAAACTCTTGCTCCTCTAGTGAAATCCCTCGAGCTAAAAAAGTATGAAATAAAATTCCCCGCCCCGAACAACAAATATTTCTCTCCCACGTCGATAAACTTCGTAGGCTTCCATTTCATTTAAAACCTTCTCTCTACAACAAAAAAAAAAAAAACCGGAGAGCCGCGTACCAGTGTCGTCAAAAAAAAAAAAGATCTCCTGGTGAGACGATGCATCGTAACTCTGGTAATTGGTTGAAATTATCTCCTTTCTCTCTTTGTGGCGAAAATCCCAATAAATGATGATCAAGATCCTAAGAAGAAAAATCAATCCCATGTGAGGATTTCGGAAGTATGATTTTTTTCTTTCTTGCAGGTCAACGTCATGAATGCTGAAAATCGGTGCTAATGTGGCAACGCAATAGCCTCGCTTTGATCATGATATTTGTGCTTCAGTGGAAAAAGTATTGTACCTCGAAGATTTTCTGTAGAAACTGTCCGCTGTAGACAATGTATGACGCTTCGAATCTATTTTACATTTTCACAAAAGCTGTCCAAATGCGCCCTATTCACGTCTAATTACAGGCATAGCCTAATGGTTCCATTAATGTTTTCCGGGGAAAATGACATCTTAGAATTTATTGAAAGGAGGTAAAATTTAGTAATGCACTGTACTTCAGTTTCGGGAAAATATCCAGCAGTTCTTGGAAATTTCTGATAAAGAAATCTCTGTTCCCACGCGTCTTGTCTTCACTTTGAAATACATATTCCGGAAACTGACGTGAAAAATATTTACTGATTTTGAGGAACTTTTTGCTTATACTGTACAAGCAATACCTGCGATGTATTGTGGAATGAAGGGAAACGTGCGAATGAATTTTTGTCTCGCGAAAATATCGCTGATGAAATAGGTTTCCTCGTGTGATCTCTCGGAAGAAACTCGATCCCTTGAACGTTTGACCAAACCTAATAACAGCTCAGGTTGGTCTTTTTTATTTTATTTCGGGTCGTCTGAAAAAGCAATACTGTAGTGATGTTTTCGGTTGTGCCTGGTCTTCTTTTGTCACGCTCAAATGCAATGCGGAAGAAGAACTGCCGCGGATCCGTCTTCCGGGATTAGATTGTACGGACGTGCTATGCGCAGAGGGCAGTGTTGGGAACCCCGTCAGCGAGCCCTGCATGTGTTTTGTCCCGTTCATAGAGAAAACGCAGGGGTGACAGACTTGACAGGGCTAAGCAGGGTGATGGCATTTTCAGCCCTGATCGTCAGATTTGAGCCAACTTAGCGAGGAATTCTGAGGATGTTTCTACCCCCAGCGTTTCTCTTCCGCGCGTCCGCGAAAGCTGGCGGGCACCGGCAACAATCTGTGGCTAAAAGCGTCTATATAGAACGGTATCGTTACACAACTTCGAATATGGTGAAATATTCGGTAGATTATTTTTCAAAAATATCAAAACATATTTCCCCTACAACCCCGTGGAACACGAGCAGTATGTTTTCACAAGCAACTTTTCTCTTCAGCAACCTCGTGACATCGCAGTCATATGTGCAAGTTTGGCAAAGTTTATGTGATTCCTACCGCTAAATTTGACGTCGCTCAGCTTGGTAATGCGTCGAAGCTGGCGAAGTTTTCTTTCGGGGTTCTTTCGCAATCCAGTCACGCCTATACAGATTCGAAGATTATTGCAGATTGATTGGGAGGTGCAGCATTATTTAAACCGTGTAAATGAACTTCTACGAGGTATTCAGGCGCAAGTTTACCAACGAAAGCGTGAATATTTTGAGTGTCTATGAATATAACCTTCTGAAACATGTGCCGAACAGAAATTGGACACTGCAAGGGAAGGAAAAAATCCTGAAATAGCCACACGCAAAAAATAAGTGTTCTATACCAGATTGTTGCCGGGAAAAGATGTTCAGCCTCCTGCAGGTCAAATGTCAGATTGAGTTTCGCACCACGAATCTAATATCCAATATAGATCAATGGAAGCCTTATCGTGCATATCGTGCCATTTTTCGGACTATTTTTTTTCGATAGCTCGAATTTTTCCTGAAGATCTCGCCGATGTTTTCTCTTTCTCTCGAAAACACAAAAACTGGTCGATGCTTCAATGATATCAGAATATTTTCCTCTCATTTTACTTTATCCCACCTTCCAGTGACTCTAATTTCATTTTAAAGTTTTAATTACTTCTGGAAATATGCGCGCTTTTTTTCAGGACAGGGACGCCTGAGCATCGCCTGGGTATTATTTTTCGTTGAAAGTCTTGCCAATATGGCGTTATAGCTTTACTTCCTTTAAACTGCTGTAAATAAACGGTGTTTTTTGCTCAATGTAAAAATGGGGAATTTGACCTTCAATCTAGTCTTAAAAATTGAATTATTTCATCTTCAAACTATGCAACATGGTTTTGTGAGTTAACTACCGTACCTGTAAAGTACATGTGTTTGAGTGGGACGCCGCACTAAAGCTTCTGCGGGTGGGTTGCTATTCTACAACTATATGAATGATGAAAATACATTTTGGGAATTGCAGACGTTTCAGTTACCTATATGCTTGCATATTATTGATACAAGTAAATTATTTTCAAGTGGAGTTCTCTATCTCACAATGTTTAGGTTATAGTTGCATTACTAAAATGTATCTGCGTCGATGCCATCACGGAAACAGGACAATTCACCGTACTGTACTGCAGGAGGAAAAAATGCTTATGACAATTCTTCGCGACACATATTTACTTCAATATAATTCGTTTAAATAAAAATATACTGAAAACTAGGTACAGTACATTTTGCTTGGTAATATATATCATATTTTTGCGTTTCTTCAATAAGAGAACTCACTGCTGTCCATATAACATGTTCTGTGGGATGCATCCGCAAATTTAATATATAATTTATTTGATCAAAACCGCACAGAAATTCAGGAAATGAAGCCATCTAAAACCTCCGGAAATTATTTTCTTCCTGCTCTGTTTTTAGAATGGCTGTCCATCCCCATAACCTTGATTACAGTAATCGTATATGAGGCAAATCCAAATGTTACGGGACCTTCTCCTTCGCAGAAGAGAAGGGTTAAGTCTTCTCTTTTGCGAAAAACATCTGGAAGTAAAACATCTTACTCTTTCGCGCAAGAGAAGGGCTCAGTCTTCTCTTGTGCGAAAAATATCTGGAAGTAAAACATCTTACTTTTTCGCGCAAGTATTCTCTTGTGCGAAAGAGTAAGATGTTTTACTCTTTGTAAGATGCTGCCGGATGTGCCGAATGGCCAATTGGAATCATGGAACGAACTAGAAGTAAGTTTCTACCTTCCTCCGTCTCTCTCTCTTCTTTTTAAAAAGATGGATCAGTACGTGATGGTGGCTGATGACGATACCGATACGTACTGCATCGAGCCGGCCAGTTCCGGACTGCCGCCCTTCGAAGCGAGCCTCGACGCGTTCCGGAAGGATGAAGGATCGAATACCATTCGCTCCACGACGGTCAAAAGGCCGGCGGCGGAAGCGATAGCGACATTCCCGCGACAGCAAAAGTCTCAGCGACGCGTAACCTTTGGTCCTCGCGAAGAAATATCGATACCCGTGCCTTCGTCCCGAATTCTGCATTCCAGACTCCTCGCGAACCATGAAATCAAAGAAGACGAGATCGAGAGTGTTGTTTGACGAAGTTTGATCTGATGTCCTCCCAGACTGCGGTCCGTGTCTCCGTTACCGTGATCACCTGCAATATCGGCCTCACGGTAAGTGCACTACGTCACGCAGTGGCCATGATTCCTTTCGAATTTTCTATATTTTTGGGTAGGAAAAAAGTAATGAAGGCTCCGTCCACACGCAATTATCGTCAGTCAAAATCGCCTTTTTTTTATTCCGTCACAGAAACGAGTGCAGGTTAAGAGCCCGCTATAATAGTACCAAAATCGCGCAGATACGGCAGGTATTTCGAAATAAATTGTAAAATGATTTCAAACCATGCTTGCTCAGCTGCACTTTTTTCGATTGGTAGATTATGGTGCATGGAGCACTGTCTGGGTGGTACCTGATTCATAAATGAAGATAAACCCATTGTCCAAGTTGAAACCCAAGCTGAGCAATGGATGGATCAATTTGTAGAATTTTTAGGTGAAACGTAAAATTAGCGAATACCGTATAGTAATATAATACTGCAGTAGATCAATTTATACAACTTAAGTGAAAGACGCACGTGGAAGTGAGTGTGTTCATGTGAATCCTGGAGCCACGTACAGGAAGTATACAAAAGTGGTACTTGACCTTATGGTACATTCAGGAGGTGGTACGACAGCATCGACCATCTTCGAAGTGGTAGAGCCCACAAAAAGTTCGAAAAGCCCTGGACGATACACCGCTGCTGCATCAAGTGGGAAACATTCTTCGGCGATGAACTTTTGAGGCTGTGTATCATCCCAATCCGAGGGTTCTTGGTATCAATTAGTAATTACAAACTTCAAAAATAGGCAATAAAAATATTTGTCCCTCAAAATGAGATCCAAGTTGTAAAAAATTACTTTTATTAATTGTTGAAATTTATTTTTAATCTCATATTTCATAATGTACCCTAAGATTTGTGTGTCGCGGGATTCTCTCAGAGCTCGATAGAAATCAACTTTTCCGGTCCCGGAAATTGGCGGTTGGAATTGCTCTGCTTCCTAATCAGTTGTAACATTGATGGTAAACCTCGGCTACTTTTAAAGCAACTGAAGATGATGCATGAGCTTCGCAACGTTCCGGTCCCAATTACTGCGTCGCGGCATGACGAATGATGCGTCACAGATAAACCACGCGTCGGCGTACGAAAACTTTGACGAGGAAATAAATAATTATCTGGTAGGACTCAAGCTTCATCCTATGAAAATGCAGCGGAATAAAACCTTATTAGACTCGTGTACATACGGTTCGGTAACCATGCGCTGGATTAGCATTTTCATTACTGCTGCAATATTAGAAAGAGAAAAGCATAAGCCCGCGCTCGTTATTCAAAAGTTTCTTCAATTAATGCAGATGCGTTTGAAAAGTTCTTGCAGCACTATGTTTTCGTTTTTATTATAATGATTGAGTCGTATTATGGTACTTACAGGATCGCCGAAAAGAAACCAGTGAACCGTTCCGACGATCGGTTCAAGTCAAAATGCTCAAAAGCTCCACAACGCAACATGGTCAACATCCGACGAACCGACGATTGAAGAAACTGCGTCGCGGGGAAGTGCCTTAAGTGTGTGGCTCACGGCGACTCGCGCTGGGTAAACGGTATAGAGTACTGTTCGGGGTGTTCCCAGAAGTTCTAGGAGAATAAGGCACACGTAGAAAAATAATAAACAGCAAATATCCGATTATCCATTCATTTATTAATCGTGAATTAAATTAATCGTGCCACCGAACAAACATGAATTACGATACTAACCAGGAACCTTCACCGTACGCGTCATTGGTTCAAGTTCAAGTTTATAGGTTGAGTCACCTCTTGATCTTGGATTATCTCATCATTATTCTCAATTACTTCAAGTCTTCTAAAGAATGGACGTTATTCGAAATTATCCCTGATTTTCGAGTATGGTATTTTGGTATTTTGAAGTCTGCCGGGCATTATAGCTCCGATTATTAGGGTTCCAATTTAATTGCCTCGAGGTTTTCTATTTCTTTTCTTTCCGCGTTTTTTCTTACAATGTTTTTGTTCAATGAAAAGTCCCGTTCTCAACTCATGAATTTGAGTGTTTGCGACAACACCCAATAAAGGGCAACTTTATGAAGTTTTCCGAAAAATTTGGCTGATGAATAAATTCAATTGAACAGGAAGCAAGAAAGGTGAACTAGAATTGTACTGCCTGAAATTATTCGTCAGCTTCATTATTCGCAATGGGATATCCTGTTCATCTTCTGCATGCTGAGTTCTGCTAGTAGAAAAAAAAATCGCACAGTACATCTAAAAAGAAAACTCACACACACTATTATTCAGAGCACGGTACTTTTTTCTGGTGACGGTGCATGTATCAAAAGGAAGAATAAAGGACTCATAATTCGTAAAGAATGAGAAATAAATACTATATTCTGACATCATCGCAGATGGTAAATAGCTAAATAGCATCACCTAAAACTTCTGGGTACATTCTCGTACTCGTATCATGTGAAACCTCGGATGGAAACGTGCAGAATGTGTTCTCATGACATTATTTTTGTCCTTGTTATGCGTACCACGAAATGTCACAGTGTTCAACTTCAGATCTGCTTGCAAGTTCAATGAATGCGACTGAAACTTCATCGTGCTTTTCATTTTATTATTATTAACTCACTTTTTGCCTTCTGGGACACATGGAAACGTTCAAACTCCAAAGCTCTTCTGAGTGTATGCGGTAATAAAATATCTCCGTACTTCCGGTTTTAAAAGTAACAGGAATTTATATAGCATCATATGCGAGGGTATTTTCAAAAATTCTGAAACTTGTTCGTTACTTCCTGCTAAGCTTTAAAAAATACCAGTACTTTTTCTGCGATTCCTTTGACTGCGGCTTTACTTTTTATGTAAGTTTATAGCATCATATGCGAGGGTATTTTCAAAAATTCTGAAACTTGTTCGTTACTTCCTGCTAAGCTTTAAAAAATACCAGTACTTTTTCTGCGATTCCTTTGACTGCGGCTTTACTTTTTATGTAAGTTTCATTCTAATTTCTTTGAACGGCAAAAATTGGAAAAATGATTCAAGAAACTCAACTTGAGGGGATATTTGCACTTCGTCAACGGAAGAGCGATGGAGCCTCGACATATTCTTTTCTGGCTCGACGACTTCCTGATGACATCAATACTGAATGATTTTCGGAATTCCAAATAATTATCAATACTGGTCGGCTGTCACAGTGTTCCTGGAGGGACTTTTTCCGTCCTTGTGATACTATACTATATATATATATATATATATGCGTGAATTGTTTCCTACACCCTGACATAAATCTCCACATCCATCCAAAATGGCACAGGATCAGGATTTGCTTCGTTTATTCAATTTCTCAAATATACCCGTATAATTGCATTCGCTCGGCTTCCTGCACATTTTTGATGTTCCCAAAACTGGAACATAGCTGTCGAGGCAATGATTTTCAAGGTAGCCTATTCCACCTGTTAATGAAAATCTTCAAGAACTAAAAAACTTGCTAAAGGACTTTCCAGTTCTGGATTAAATAATTGGTATAAGGCATCAACATTGTTGATTAAAATGTCTGTTGAAGCAACAAAATGTCAAAGCTTCTGCTGTAAAAATGCGCCTAAAGTTGATTTGTAAAACGTTTTCCATGTAGTTTTATTACCGTAGTAAGCTGGAGAACGTTTGAAGAAGTTTTCATAATTGGCGGAAATTCCGTGAAATATTTTTTCTAGTTTGGTTCTGTATATTTATTCTGGACTGAGCATTTATTCCCCGTACAATTCACTGAGGAACCATGAACATTTTATCATGCAAATTTTGCAACCCTGATGTGGCTAGTAAGCATTTCAAAACGGGTTGAGCTGGACATGAAATTATTCAATGATTTTCGGCAAAAGAAAAGAGATTTGAAGCCTGTTAAATTTGGCATCTCAGGTCATTATTTTTATCCTGTTTTTTTGCGATGCGGGATCGACGCTTAGTTGAGACTTTAGTTACTGGAATATTTTTAATTCGAGGAAGCTTTTTTTGCGCTTCAGGGATAGAATCAAAAGGAGTGTCGTCACATGGGTGGGATTTTGATGAAATGAGAGAAAATAGATTCCCACGCAACGGACCACCAGCGTAGGAAGAATAACTTGAATTTTGCGTCGTCGGTGGGAAACGGATTCCGCCTCGTTGGCGCGGTGCCGAACCTGATTTTCGGTGTCAACTTTAAAAAGAGAAGTCAACATCGAAATTCTCACGTGAACTGCTTGCTTCCAATATTTGGTCGCCGATTACTCCAGTCATACGAAAGATGCGGACATCAACGGGACTCGAAAATACGGATTATTTTTTCGTCGTCGGCGTGAGAAAGTGGCAGCAGAAAACATTGTTTTTAAAGTTCGTCTTTTTTGTTTAGCTTCGTATCCCGGCGTCAGATTATCGACGCGTGGGTCTATCCGGATAATTATTCTCGCTCCTCAGTCCCATTCCTCGCCGCACCGCGTTTACAGAAAATTCGTCTACGTTTTCGTCGGATGTGGATCCGTCTGTAAATAAGCTAGTGACTTCACATGATGACGTGCCTTTCTCTTCCTTCATCTCCAGTGATACTGGGACTGATTCTTTATTCAAAATAGTTCACCCGCCCTGTGACTTCTGTGCACTGCGAACTTTATTTTTATTTTCATATACCGTATGAAATAGACTCTCTTTTTTATCCTTACAACCGTGGAAAGTTTTCCGATGAAAGTACAGTACTGTACTCTATCACTGTGCACGATATCATAGGCCGCGCTTTTTCAACAGGAAGTTCAGTGATAACTCTGATGCGGCCTGCATTCGAAGATAGGCCGCAGTGTTAAGGAGTCATGGCCAATCGATCGTGATTCTTTAAATACAGTACAAAAAATACGTCACGGGAAAATAAGGAGGATAAAAATATCACTGTGGGAAAAGCTTTCAGAATACTTTTCTTTGGGTGATTTTTTTTGCTGTTTTAGCATTTGCTCGAATGTTCGACGACGTTCATGCTTTCTTTTCACCACTGAAATCGTTATCTGGCATTCAACAGATTATAAACCATTGCTGTTAAACAAATTACGGAAGGTTTTTTCTTGAAATCTTCTGCTGCCTATTCAGATTTTTTCCTGACGAATCAAAATTAGTTTCGGTCGTCATACGTTGGAATTGTTTGCCGTTTTTGAAGGTTGTGGATTTGCTCTCTTAAATTTTGAAAATAAGTTTTAAAATGTATTTTTTATTAAGGATAAGATCGCTTTATGTCTTTGTTTTCGGGGCATTCAAACGCAGTGCATTCCAGCCAGCAATTGTGCTATATTACCGCAGATCAATTAAATAAACTACTGATTTGCAAACTGATGATTATCGCCGTACAGAAATCGTACATCGTTCATGCGAGCAACGGCATATCCTCAATACATTTCTTGATGTTCTATTATGAGTTTAATAATTCAGTGAATATGTAGTACGCTTATATACATGGCGGCGTGTTTACACAGCCATTGCTGAGCGTTGCTGGAAGGGTATCGATCTGCTCTTGGTGTTTAAGCCAGGACATTTCGTCTATAAACCCGATAACTCAAGATTTACGAAGAATTTTGAAACCGAGTTCTTTCAATTTTCTTTCAGTGACCCAACGAGTGCCTACGTGAATCTTGAAGCTTGTTTAACGAGGCCTAGTTCCGATGAGACAGCGCTTCGAAATGACTGAACGCTCCTCGGGGATCTGGATCGCGAGACATCCGGGCTCGGACCCGTATCACATGCGCGGGGATCTGAATTCGGGGAGTGTTTATTGGAATGAGCCGGTTTCTTATAAACACGAGTATTTAATGCTGCTGCTGTATCCGTCCGGTGAGAACGGAGGAGGCGTCTTCAGACATACTCTGTCCCGTCTGTGCGTCTTCCCCTCGGCATTCGCGAAACCAGCGCGCAGGCGGCTTGATGAACGCGACTGATAACCGCGTCACCGCCAAGTGGTGTGGGAACGCAAGCACGCGAGATTATCGCCCGCTGAAACTCAATCTGCAAATCTTCCGCGCTCTCATCGAGAAAGACGTGAATAATCCGCGGAGTCAAAAAATCCAACCCAACATGGATGGGACGAAGCAAAATTTTCCCGGCGACGACCGGCACGCAGCGTTTATCATTGCTCTAGGGAACGCCGTGACGTCGAAGTCGGGAGCCCGATTCGGTCGCTTGCGTTTCGCGGTTGCCTTCGTACTTGACGGTTCGCGAAGCGTTTCGTTGATCCGAGGAAGTTTGCCAAATAATCCCGCAATTGTATTGCAATCCTCTCCAATATGGTCTGGTGACAATTTCAGTGTTGTTCGCCGCGTGTGAGAACAGTGCGACTACTGGATATATATGATTCGAAAAATGTCCATCAGACAACCTACGCAATTGAATCAAACTAAATTCTGACCGAAAGTGCGGATTCAAAGTAGCGTTTCCGTAAAAATATTGTATTCTCCCTCCCAAGTAATTGAAGCTTTAGTAATTTACTTTTCCTATTACTGGTTACAAATTTGTTTTCGGGAATGCGCAAGAGACAGCATGAATCATTATTACAGTTGATACAACAGGGGACCCAGCGTGAGCAAGAAGTTGTCCGTTGTAGTTAATAAGACGGAAAACCATGAATTTCGTTTTATTCATATACTGTACTATATACTGTCGAATCATTTGATTAGATCTTTCTGCGCAAGATTGTTTAAGATTTGTTTTTAACTTTTTATAAATAGATGAAGCATTTCACGGATACATTTTTGAAGAATTTAACTTATTGGGATCGTTGCTTGTTTATATATAGTTTATACACAGTAGACACTGCTATAAATAAGAATCGCTTATTTGTCCTGAATCTCCTGACACCTCTCAACACTGATGGTGTGCGAGGCAACAAAGATTGAGCGTTTTCACATTTTGTTATGCGAAAATAAGAAGTATGTCACTGTGATGGAATTTCCATTTAACCATGTATTTATCGCAATAATGGGCGGAAAACCCCTTTTATAAAGCCGCTCGTCAATCTACGAAGGAATGCAGGTGTAATATTATGCCGAAAGTTGGGAAATTTATTCGGGCTGCCGAAAGCTTCGCAACTTAGCATGATCCTTAACCGAACGGGCGTTTGTCGTATTGCTAGACGAATAATTCATTGGGATGAATAGTGCAGTGAAAAAATATACGTAGCACAAACCCCCGAAATCGGGAGGAAAATTAAATACAGTATAAACTTTTATGGTATTTTTGTATCGACGAGGTGTTTCACGAAAATTTAATTGAACCTTTATTTCGTTGGTCCTCATGGCCGCGATAATTTATTTTTCACTGTTATATTGATTTCGGTATTAAGATTCCCATTCCTAAATGGACATACAATTAAAATACTGTAGTTATTATTGAAGCTTAATTGTGCACGTGATTCCACGTCAAAGGGATGATGGAAAAAAGCATCTGATTGATATAATGCAGCCATAATGAATGTGCGCATTCTATATACATTCGTACTTTACATCATGCGCATGCAGAAGGGTTTTCGTTGTACAGTACAGTACAGTACTATATCGCGCGCACCATATATGTCAGCAGCGATATCCGGTGAGTATCCCTGGGAGAGTTGCCTGTATGTGCCGCCTTCACTCTCTTTTTTTCCCACGAAATGGGGAGACGACATACAGCTGCTTGTGTACGCAATCTTTCTATAGAGGAATAGATTCATGATGGGGACATGCGATTTGGCATCTTTATATACACTGTACGTCACTGTGCAAGGTTAGAGGAATAAAATGCGGAGAACGCGTGCTTTCTAAATTGAACCGTGAAGACAATTGAATGTTTTGTTGAACTGGTCAACACCAGACATTTTTAGCCAGTATAGGTGCAAAAATGACTTTGAACTTTAACGCGACCGGGCTAATAGTTTAGCTTAATTACATCGTCAACATGGTTGCAAAGGAAATATCCGGGTTTTAGAGGATTGATTTGGTGGGTTTGAGTCAGAGTTATCCGGAGTACTATCGTGACTCATTTGTGATGAACAGCTTGCGTCTGTTGCTGTACATTGTATTCGTTGTTGCATGCAATAGGTTTATTTATCGCTTCAAATTTTATTCGCAGTGAATTTTCACATTGCAGTCATGGTGAGAACCATATGAGAGCTTGAAAAGTTGTCAAGCACCTCCAAAATTTGCATGTCCTCTATCTTTTGCTCTCTCAAACAATTGTCAATTCCTCGGAAGACGGTTCAAATAATCATCAAATGACATTGTAATTGATATGTATATGAAGAACCTTTCCACGACATGGATTAAATTCATTCAGTGTTCAGCATAAGAAAGCAGGGCCAAGTATGTGGTCTTTTGTTCAAACTTGACCGCCTGCTCATCCTGATTCACTTGGCCCGAACTGTTAGACATTATTCAAAAGAAAATTAATTCGCTTCAATGTTTCAAGGCCATAGATTGCTGAAGTGTCCAGGAAATAATGCAGGTAAAATATTGACCACATATTCCGTCGTCCAACCGTTGTACATCACAAGCAAATATGTTTTGGATAACCTGCTTAAACCTGCATAAGTGTACAGAAAAAAATGAACAATTTTGAACCAGCATAGGGAATAATGTGAGGTACTCTACGCAAGTGATATTCATTGATATCAAATGCTTTGGTTTCTGCAGGGTTTTTCCTGAAACAGAAACCCCACGTGAAAAAACAGTTTTATTTGGATGAAATATTGTACTGTACAATGTTTTCACTCACAAAACCCTCATTTGATTACTGATCAGAGCTCAGACCTATTTTGTCAACACAATAAACTTTCTGGTGATCTTCAAAAGTTCACTGAATTTCCCTTGAAATCTCAGTAGCTACTTCTCTGAACGGATTTTAATATTTTAATAAAATCATATGTGTTTTTATTCTATTGCGATTGCGACTTGCTCTGATTATTTTCAAACCCTGCATGGCCAGCATAAGACTCAACGACACCACGAGGGAACAAACAATGGAAGTAAATAAAAATACGTGTACCAATTCAACCGAACTGGAAAATGTTGCTGTTTTCATTCATCCCGTGGAAACGAAGAAGTGCCAGTGTTTACTCGGGAATTCGCCAATTCTTATATAACATTGCAGTATATAACTCTTATATAACATTGAAATTTCCCTGACAAAATTTAACATTCAAACATCATTCAAGCTGCAAGTATTCGTTTGGAGTGTACAAACCTACTGATATACAAACTATGACAGCGTGCGAATTTCATTCAGAAATCCTCTCAAAATTTTGCCGAACTAAAATATCTTCAAATATTGTCCAAATAAAAAATTAATCTCTCATTATTTTTCAAATATTGAAGAGAATCCACAATACATTCAAAAAAGTACAGTATTCTTCTTTATGGAGTAAAATTAAATTTCATATTGCCCATCATGTTTATTTATTTTTGATACTGTATCTCAAGAGAATACACTGGGTTTATGCGGAATGCTTGTGCATGTTTGAGTTCATGTAAACTATTTTCTTGACCTCGGAATGAACCCCGCCTGAGCATCTGCATCGTTGTAAGTCTGAGCCCTTATAGGCAGCTTTATGTCCGCTTAGGCGTTTAGTGTTATTGCTTAGTGCTGTAGTATGAATCAAGGCTGCCCTTTACTTTTTAGACTCTTGTTCAGACAGGTTCATAAGAACCAGCATTTACTTGTAGTGCTGCATGGGCGAGCCATGCTGTGGGTACAAAAGATCCTCACACCGACACGTCAGAAAAAGAAAACCTTCTGTTGTTTATTGGACCTTCATGTCATAATGTGTGGCTGTCCCAATAAGTCCAAGGGGATTAAATTCCGCTTCTTTCTGGTAACATCAGCATCCTTCGGATGGACTTTGGAGACGTTTTCGACAAGATCGTTGGTTCGGATCAGATTTAATTTAACAGATCAAATTATTTCACATAGTCAATATAATTTCAAAATTTCAAGCAGAAAATGTACTGTCTTGCCCTGCCAAATCTTTGAAGGCATGGTTGGGGGGGGGGGGGGTATTATAATAAAGCAGTAGCTTGTAGTACCAGCAGAAGAACATAAATTACAGTATCTGCACATAATTATGATTCAGGCGTTCATGTAATCATGTTCAACTCCACTTCTTTATTACTCTGACTTGTTATAATGGCCCAAATTATTTTTGCAGCCACAAAATCGTTGTCCTGGTAATCTTTCGAATGTGACCACCTGATTTTAGCCGAGGTAAATTACTTTACTGCAACATTACAACAAGGGAATACCATAATAGATATTTTCTCTTCGGAATTTGTCAGCATACTGCATAATTAAAATGAATGCAGCAACGATTTTAAAAATTGAACACACCAATGCAGCTAATTTTTTCGAGGCTGATAATGTGAGGATGAGCAAAAAAATGTTGAATTGATGAGCAAATTTACACTTCCAGCATTTTTTTTTGTCAAACCGGATAAAATTTAAGACCATGTCATACAATGATGACCATCGAAATTGGCAAGTGCATCATGCTTCTAAAATTAAGTGGACGTGTTATTCAGACGGAAAAACCCACAGCACCATGGGCTCTAGGTTGTCAGCAAGACGGCATACTTAATTGAGTCCAGTTTCAGTGTGTGATGGATAATATGGATTGCGAAGAAAACCTCTTCCTGGTACTGTACCGCTGTACAGTATACGGAGTCATTCGTGAATCGGAGGGTAAATCAGTACAGTACATAGTACAGTACAGTATAATAAACCGCCCGTTTTCACTGGCATCTTTGTTCAAATCTTCAACATTGCCTACCGACGTTGAGTTGTTCAAATTTCCCACCCATCAAGGAAAATTTATCCAGTCCCGCTTGAACAATGGTGGAAGCATCTTGTATAACTTCACGCTTGTGATCTGCTTAAACTGATTTTAATTGAAGTGCATGATCGAGTGTTGATGGAAGCAAGTCTTTAAATTGTTCGGTGATCTTGTATATACAATACTGTTGCTGGTGGCTCTCAGTTTTCTTCCCAGATCTGAGCTGGTCACCATGTTAGCATACCGAATGTACAAAGGTGAGCTCGCTTGTAGTGGACTCGCAATTGTGCAGAGCTTGATCAAGTCGAGTATTCTTGAGCGTGCTTCTTTGAGGAAGAAGCATTATTTCGTGGAAGGATTCTAGGAAATCGCTGCTATCTGGTGATGGTTTGGAAACGCTTCATTATTTACATCGTAGCGGTATCAGTTCGTAAATGTTGATTGTTGAAACATGCGAGTGTAAAACTAACGAGTACAGTGTGTCCACGTCATTGGCGTTTTTATGATTATAGTTACGAAGGTAATTGTTCCATGATATCAAATTAGTGAGTATGTTTCTCGGATTAGTTTGTTTCGTGATCTTCGTGACCTTGAATTCCTGGGATTGTTTCATTTTCGTGATTTTCAATTGTTCGATGCGTTCTTAATTCAGCATGGACGAAGGCTTCTGTATCTCGCGCGAATGTTTAATCTACGGGTGTGCCTAGATCTCTCCAGTAGTCTCACCTGGTGTGTCGTTTTTTTTGTTTTAATCACTTGATAATTTCTCCTGCCCCTGCGGTGACACAAGGTCACTCGATTTAGCGACACTAAAGCACTAATAACTCACGGATCTCATATACCAGATCAAAGCAGACAAAGCTGACATCTATTTAGGCTTGCTTTAAACATTGAACTTGACAGGAACTGAGGCCAGTCGCGTTTTTCGAAGAATCTTAAGATGTTCAGCTGGTTGAGTGGGGACGAGTCGCGCAAGAAGCAGCCCGAAATATATGAAACTGTGTTGGAAGGGCTGAAAAAAGTTTATAAAGCGAAGATCCTGCCATTGGAAGAGCAATACAATTTCCATGATTTTGAATGTGTTTACCACTTTTGGAAACCACTAAACACTTCTCATAAAATAACAAGAATAAAACATTAAGAATGCTGCAAGTTCATGTATTGAATAGTATGCTATCTTCTTACACCATTCTTCAACAGCATGTAATTCCTATCTGCAAGCATATGCAGTTCATGAAGTCACTCATTTGTGGCTCTGAGAGAGGGAGTGGAAGGAACAGCCCTATAGGGGGGCAGCGTGGAAGTGAGTTGCGTTGAGTTTGAAAGTGTACCATAACGTCTGGTCACCCACTGTACCGTAGTCGGGTGATTTCGGCCATTTTTTGGATGCGGCAAAATTCCTCTCAGGCATACGTGAAAGTTAGTGTTTACTACTTTCGGCTGCCACCCCAAATCCAAATTTCTGATTCAGAATCATCTGCAGAAATTAATTTATAGGTCTGGAAGTCATCTGTGATACGGTCAAGTTGATAAACACCGTTAATACTTGGATGAGGGTTCATGGTTGTATCTGTGAAATTTTTTTTGTTTTAATCACTTGATAATTTCTCCTGCGGGACGCCACTGTGTTCCAGTGAGCTAAATCGCTGTGATTTCGTGATTATTGAGTGCCTAGAGTATATGGTCTAGTTTCGTCTGTTTCGACTGTAGATAAATCCGAACGAAATTTGTAACTTGAACTGAGGAACTGAGGCCAGTCGCGTTTTTCGAAGAATCTTAAGATGTTCAGCTGGTTGAGTGGGGACGAGTCGCGCAAGAAGCAGCCCGAAATATATGAAACTGTGTTGGAAGGGATGAAAAAAGTTTATAAAGCAAAGATCCTGCCATTGGAAGAGCAATACAATTTCCATGACTTCCATTTGCCAAAGCTCAGTGATCCGGACTTCGATGCCAAACCCATGATTCTGTTAGTTGGACAGTATTCTACGGGAAAAACAACTTTTATTCGTTATCTGTTGGAGAGAGACTTCCCCGGTATTCGGATTGGCCCGGAACCCACGACAGACTGCTTCATTGCGGTTATGTATGGCGAACAAGATGGAATAATTCCAGGCAATGCACTTGTGGTAGACCCGAAGAAACAATTCCGGCCTCTTTCCAAGTTCGGCAACTCATTCTTAAATCGTTTCCAATGTGCCCTGGTTGATTCCCCGGTTCTGAAGGGGATTTCCATCGTTGACACTCCTGGAATTTTATCGGGAGAGAAACAACGTACGGATCGAGGATATGAATTCACGGGAATTCTGGAATGGTTTGCTGAAAGAGTTGACCGGATCATATTGCTTTTTGACGCTCACAAGCTTGATATATCCGACGAATTTCGTCGAGGAATTGAGGCTGTCAAAAATTACGAAGAAAAGATACGAATTGTTCTAAACAAGGCTGACATGATCGATCATCAGCAACTGATGAGAGTCTATGGGGCCATGATGTGGTCGCTGGGAAAGGTTTTGAAAACTCCAGAAGTTCCTCGAGTTTACATCGGATCATTTTGGGATCAACCGCTTCGCTATGACTCAAACCGCAAGTAAGGATCGTACTTGAAGTGGTCGTTCAATAGTCTGAAAACGTTTTTTCATACTATTAGATTATTTGAAGCGGAGGAGCAAGATCTTTTTCAGGATCTTCAGTCGTTGCCGAGAAATTCAGCCGTTCGGAAATTGAATGACCTCATCAAACGTGCGAGACTGGCAAAGGTATTCGAAGGTTTTTCTCACGTGGAAGTGCCCTTTTCAGAATGTCTTTTATTCTTAGGTTCATGCTTATATCATAAGCTCACTTCACAAGGAGATGCCCTCTATATTCAAGAGGGACAGCAAAAGAAAGGAGTTGATCAAGAATCTTGATAGCATTTTTGAGAAATTGCATTTGGAGCATCAAATTTCTCCTGGAGATTTTCCCGACATCGAACACATGAGGGTATGAAAATATGGGTTGTTTCGTGAAAGCTTGGACGGGTTCCAACAGCTCTACTCTTTTGTAGAGCGTACTTTCGAAGTACGATTGGGCCAAGTTTCACCCACTGAAACCGCGGTTATTGGATGCCGTGGATAGGATGCTTGCAGAAGAGGTAGCTCAATTAAGTGCCATGATTTCGACAGAGGCGATCACAAAAAGCAAAGAACCGCTTCTCTCAGGTACATTTTCATTGCTCGAACTTTTCTCTGTATGACGTAGATACGATATTAGCCCGACTCAGTTGAGAATGAAGTTCTCGATTTTGGTTGTAGGAGGAGCCTTTGATGGTGTGAAAGACGTCCAATCGCCTTTCGGTTTTGGCCGAGGAGAAGGGGTGGACGCCGGTTCCGACGAGAGGGAGTGGGTTGTTGCGAAGGATAGGCACAAGTACGATTCAATTTTCGATTCACTTGGACCAATTGATGGGAAAGTCTCAGGAGCGAGTGAGTACATCATCGACGTAGAAAGTGCTTTACCGTGAAGTGAAGCAAGCTTATAGTTTAACATCGGCGTTCTTGGAAATGTAGCTTCTAAATTTCTTTTTCTCCTGCATAGCTGCAAAAGCAGAGATGGTGAAGTCGAAGTTGCCGAATTCTGTGCTTGGGAAAATCTGGAAACTTGCGGACCTGGATAAAGATGGAATGCTGGATTGTGACGAATTCGCCCTTGCAATGCACCTCATAAACGTCAAACTGGATGGTCACGAACTGCCGGCTGAACTTCCTGCTCATTTGGTTCCACCAAAGAAGAAGTTCTAGATGTGCCAGAATTTGCCTTGATTATGTTAAAGTTATGCAGTTTATGCAACTCGGCCTGTTCGAGCGTACTGCTCGGGATTGGCAAAAAAAAGTCCTCATCATGTTCACCATTGGAAAGCCCATTCCTTTTTTCCGGAGAAATCGCGACAGAAATTTAATTTTTCTGCATTTTTGCTTTTAAGCGCCGCAGTGTTTCTAGCTTGGTGGTTATTATATATATATTTTCTGCTGGAAGGTACTATTTTTGTGCTTCTTGAAGAACTAGAGAAGATAAGGATGGGCGTATGGAGTTATAAAGTAGACTTCTACCCCTACCGGGAGCTTGTGATAATGGCGGATCATATTCTGAACTGATGAGCAGCGCTCAGTTGCTCTTATCGTTTTTGGGGCTAGTCGGTAAAGTTCGCGGAAGCTCTCTTGTGTATTCTTCAGAGTGGCTTTACTTGTTCATGTCATCACGTTTTTCAGTTACAAAGTAAAAGTATGGAAATCAGTTTCTTTTTCGATGCGTTTTTCATGGTTAATACTGTATCCCATTTCATTTTGAGGTGAACATATTGAGAGAGTGGCGGCGAATTCTGACGTCCTATAGTTTCTCATAGTCGTCATGGTAGAGTATCCTCCAGAATGTTCAGAAAGCGCAGAGAAGTACTTATAGGGAAATGATTGAGGAGCTTCTTAACTTCCGGATATTTATTTCGTATTTTTGATATGATCGCCTTTAGCGAAAGGATATCAAAATACAACTTCCGATCGTTGCTTGTTGATGTGAGTCGTGCCCGTTAAGTCGAGGGGTGTCATTTTAGTCCGCTTTCGCTCGTAGACGTTCCTGATACATTTGTGAGACTGTATTCAGCCCTCCGGAAAGCGTTGGACGATAATTCACAAATGTACATGTCGTTGAACGCTGAATGGATTTGTGCTATCCATGAGTGCTTCTCTAAAACATCGAACGAGTCTGCAAGGTAGTTAGTGCAGAGATTTCTTGCGTTCAATAATTTTCATTCCCTGTTTCGAAATCCTGTTGATTTCTTTTTATTTTATGGTCAATGACTTTTGATCATTGATGGGTTGAGAATCGGTTCGATACCGTTTTGTTGGAGGAATCAATTGAGTTCACGGGCTAGCATGCTACTGTTATCGGAAGAAGGTTACCTACGCCTTTCATCGTTATGTTATAGACTTGTTGCGTATCGATTCGCTTGCGCCGATGGTGAATGATATCGATTTGAATTTATTATTTTCGGGCACTTGATCGGGAGACTTGGAGTTCGTGACCCTATTCACGGAATGGCATCCAGGAAGTGAAAATCAAACTGGTCCAAAAATTTGCGAAACATTTTTCTCGACTTGAGCTCTTGAAGTATTTCAAAATTTCGAATGGTTCTCCTTTTAGTTTCTTCTCTGAAATCTGAAGTGCTGTGCGCCGCACAATTTTACGATTCCGAAATGACTGGATAAATTGCACCTTATTCAACGAACGACTTAATCGCAAGGCAGATAGTTATTCGGCAGGTCCTTGGTACAAAATCGGCAACGGTGTGAATTCCTTCAAGCTGCACAGGTGCATTTCTAATGCTATGATAGCTTTATTGATCGATTTTATTTTGTGGCATCGTTCGTAAGCATCATGTTTGTTCCTGCTTGGTTTTCACCTTCTGCGCAATCCCTTCGTATATCCTTGGGCGTATGGATACATGGCGACGAGAAGGAGTGTTGCTATGTAAATCCGCGCGGTGATGAGTTTATTTATCTATTGATAGGTGATTTCGTGTCGTAATGGAAACGCTGTGTGTCGGAAGGGGTATTCGTATATCGTTTTGCTTTGAAGTAGCACGCTTCCTTCATTTACATTATTGAATTTATAAAATTTCGTTTCAGGCATCGCGGAAATCAGTGAGTTTTTGATGGATGTTCACCGTCGGTTGTTGCTGAGGCCGGCGGCAAGGAACGAGCCAGTGAGTAGCTCTCACTGGCTTAGCTGGTGAGCTGGCTATTTCCTGTTCATCACCGTTGTGTCATTGGTGGATCGCAGCGGGTTTTCCAGAGAGGTAGACCTGGCCTCCAGTCAAGATCCCGGGGACGGTGGTGTTTCACCCGAGCCACCCCACAAGAAAGTAAGTCTTGTTCCGTGTATTTTTGGTAGCGAGAGAAGTCCTGTTTTGCCCATGTTACGATGTCATTTGTAATTTGCTTTCAAGTTCTTACGTAGTCTGATTCCGAACCAATTCCTTGTGCTGTAGCCGCGTATAGGAGTGGCCATGCAGCACCAGGCTTCGCCTGGAACAAGTGACAGTGTTTCGTTGCGGAGGAGCTGTGCCGAAAGTGTTTCGACGTCATGTCTAAATTCTGAAATGTCTTCGTCGAGGCGGCCGGCTAGTGTTGGGAGCACAATGAAAGGCAAAGGGAAAGGGAAAGGAAAATCCAAGCAGAAACAAGATGATCCGCATGGCGGAATGAGTTCCCGCTTGCGATCGAGAAAGAATGAACAATCAAACGGATTCATTTCTGACGGAACCAACGGGGCTGTGAAAGAGCCAGATGAGGTCAATGCATCTGCTGACGAAGAAAGTCCAAAATTGCAGAAAAAACCTCCCGTATTTTCTAAAATGGACGAGGAACTTGTCCGGCTTATTGGTCAGCATCTGAGAGGCCTTGGACTCGAGTGGGTCAACTTGAAATGATCATTTTTCTGTCATGTTTTTATCATGGAGAAACGTATTTTTAAAGGAGTTCCGCGGAGGAGCTGATGAGAGAATCAGGATGCCGTTTGGAGCATCCAGCAGCTGCAAAATTCAGATCTCATGTCATGAATGGGAACTGGGACCAGGTATTATTAGTTTTTATTTTTTGTTTTTGATTCTGTTTAATGATCCGTCTGTGTAGGCGCAAGAATCACTTGCTGCTGTGGGAGAGTTTCTGGCCAATCAAGAGGACCTGAAGGTAGTGTAGAATCCCAAAACATTTTCACGGACGCTTCATTTTATTTTAATGTTTTTCCACGTAGAAAATGCAATTTCTCTTGTTGGAGCAAAAGTACCTGGAGTTACTCGAGACGGGTAAAGTTCACGAAGCTTTGCGTTGCTTGCAAATGGAGTTGACGCCGATGAATTACAACACTCCGCGAGTGTATCAACTGACGCAATTCCTCATGTGCGCCAGTAATCAAGTTCTCTACACTATGGCCAAATGGTCAGGGTCTGAGCCGAAGCTGTCCAGTCGGAAGTCACTGATGGACAACTTGCAAAAGTTCCTTCCGCCGTCCGTTATGTTACCTCCAGATAGGTGTGCGCGGATGAAATTTTTTCATTATCCAAAATAACTCTTCATTTGTTTCAGGTTGAGACAACTCGTTATCCAAGCGGTTGAACTTCAAGGAAGCCGTTGTCAATATCATAATCCTATTGATGACACGTATAAGAACGATGTTTCCCTCTTGACGGATCATGTATGCACTAGGTATGTCAATGTGAGGATTAATTTGGAATTTCACATAATATTTCGTGCTTTCTGAATTGTCAATTTTTCCTGTGCTGAGCTATTGAAGAATTTTGTGATACTGTATGTTTTGACGTAATTTTTCAGTTCATTATATTTTCCGAAGATCACCTTGAGACCTTACGTATTGGAGAATCACGCGCAGTAGTTTCGAATTTAATTTTTTCTCAGAAATTAGGCTTCATTGATGAGCTGTATGAACGTGATTTTGCACTTGATTTCTCTATTTTTTCAGTGATGATTTTCCGTCTCGAGTAATTCAAAATCTCACGGACCACTCTGACGAGGTGTGGTTCTGCGTTTTCTCTCCTGATGGCAAAACGCTTGCGACGGGTTCGAAGGACACTACTATCATTTTGTGGGATGTTGACGTGGTATTATACTAATGGTTACAGCGGAGTGTTCATGTTCAATGCCATTGCCATTTTCGATTTGCAGGTCGAATTCAAACTAACTCGTCGGAAGGTTCTTGAAGGGCATACGTATGGAGTTGCTTTTATCGCTTGGAGCCCGGACAGTCACTGGTTGGTTGCCTGTGGAACCGATGATTGCTCCGAGTTGTGGATTTGGGATGCTCGGTCAGGAGATCTCCAGAGAAAAATATCACACTCTCCGGATGATTCCCTCACCACCGCCGCCTTTCACGCCTGCTCTAAAAAATTTGTCGCTGGCGGCACAAAGGGACAATTCTATCTCTGTGTACGATAGTGAATAATTTCTCCTTAACCTTCTTGGACTTGAATGGATTACTGTGTTTCAGAATTTGGAAGGAAGTCTGTTGGATTCCTGGGAAGGTGTTCGTGTGAGAGCATTGTGGACGAGGAAAGATGGTAAAACTGTGTTGGCAGCTGATACTCATCACCGTATTCGCGCATACATTTTTGAAGACCCTGCAGATTATGGAGTGTAAGTGGGATTGAAAGTAAACATTTTCATTATCCGTCTCATGTTCCTCCCTTTCTCATGCAGGTTACGTGAGGATCACTCCATTATGTCTTTCACGGTACATCCTAACGGGCAGCTCGCTTTGCTCAATGTTTCCACTCAGGGGGTACATTTGTGGGACCTTGAAACCCGTTGTTTAGTGCGAAAATTCCGTGGTGTGACTCAGTCGTACTTCACGATTTATTCATGTTTTGGAGGATACAACCACTCTTACATCGCTTCTGGCAGTGAAGGTGCGTATTCAACGACTTCAGAATGTTTGGACAACTATCTCGTACGTTGCTGCTTTTCTGCCCCAACTTCAAACTTTTGGGACTAGAAAAAATTCCCTACCTCTTGGAATAATCTCATCACACGTGCATGAGTTTGATTGTGCAGTCCAGTATTCCGATGTAGCGTCCATCTTTTATGCAAATTTTATCGTCTTAAATGTAATTGCAATGATTTTGTAAACATTGCTCCTAATACCCGTAGGTTTTATCGAAAGTGTTTCTTTGAGGAGGTACTGTAACCTGCTTCGGCTATTTTTTTGTTGTTGCCTTTTTTGCCTATAGATCATAAGGTGTATGTGTGGCACGTGAAACGTTCGGAACCTTTGGTGGTGCTTTGCGGGCATTTGCGGACAGTGAACTGTGTTTCCTGGAACCCGGTGTTCCCCGAAATGCTGGTTTCAGCATCTGATGATTGCACTGTGAAAGTATGGGGCCCGAAGTATCGTGCCCGCGATGACTTGGAGTATAAACCAGCGAACACGACAGTCGAATACGATAGTGCGGACGAGGAAGACCGGTGGAGACGATCTCGCCGTTCTCGCAGTCGTGGTGGGGATTCCCGTGACGACGACGGTGACCCGCGTGGGCCGAACCACGATAATAACCGTGATGATGACGATCGGGATGAAGACGACGATGATGATCAAGATGAGGAAGGTGGGGGTGAAGGTCAGGAAGAAGATGACGACGATGACGATGACGCTGATGAAGCACCGGTGCCTGAGCCGCCTCGGCGCGGCAGAGGGAGTGATTCTGACCGTGATTCGGGTCGTAAACGTGACGGGCGAAGAGTGGTTACTCGTGCAAGTCGATATCATAACGGTGATGCTTGCAGGGAGTGACAATGCGGCTCGGTATCCGCGTGGCTTCACCCTTGTGCGCCGACGGTGAGAAATTCTGCCACTCTGTTGCTACCGAAACGGAGGACAATAATTTTGAATATATATGTGTATCTCCAAAGACAGCTGAATGTAGATTATTTTCTCCGCTCTGGGAGGTCGCTCAATGCATGGCTGAGAGGCCTATTTTTTGAGCAGAAGCAGTATAGTGTTTCGGTGGTGTGCAAGACCTAAAGTATCTAGGCGTGATTTGCCTGATACGAATTTCGTGTGCTTTCGTTGATGAAGTTATCCGGAGGATTGATGAAACAAATCAACTGTTTCCGAATATTGATTTACACGCTGTACTTCTGCTTCTGGCATGACGTGATTTTCATCGTCATCCCAGAATTTATCCCGGGAACTGATGGATAAAGGATTTTCTACTTCCATGGGAAGTACTATCTGCGTGAAATACTGTACTGGTAAAGGAGTAAATCCTCGTTTTCTTCTGATTCTCTAGTGTATACCGTGTTATTTCCAATTATAGATACTGCATCACTATAAAACGGGCATTGAGGTTAACGATCTTTGGGGCGGAGACGTTGTAAGGATTGCTTTTAATTTGCGTAATGAGGGTGAGGACCTTCTTTTAGTTCATTCTCAGTTTCGTTTCTTTTAGGTGAACATTTTTTCCTTGTTCGCACGCCATCGTGATTTATCCCTAGGCTTCTTATTGAGATATCTCGTACTAGCTTTAATGTTCATGAAGTGCTTCAAGACAATGATTTCAAGATGTACTTTGAAGTTGAATATACGTATCTTAACTGCAGAATTTGAGTGATACACAGCGAAGAAAGAGCGGCTCGCTTGATGAAGACTGAAACCGTACTTGAACCGCCTTCTCTATCAAGAGAGGATGACTATCTGTGCAATGAAGATCCAATTACTGCGTTAGTCCAATGAGTTTTGCGCACGACTTTTGGTTTTGTTTTGAAATCGAACTTTTTTGTTCTGTTTCGGCGGGTTGATGTAAACTGCTCAAGGAAACATGCAAAGCGCCACGTGACAAGTTACAAGAAGCATGATTTCGGTTCAAACCCTGTTGCTCGGTTCCATAGTGTTTTGGTGGGGAAAAATCTGGTGTGGAAACCACACAGATGTCTTATGTAAAACCTAGGTAAAATTTGCGCATTGCGATGAAGATCCTTTTTTGGTGTAGTCTTGTGAAAGTGAATATGTTGTGTGATGGCTGCGCTGTGAGAATCGTCATTTATTTTGTGTTCGTGAATACTCTGCGCGGCCCTTGACTTCCTTTGTTGGTTATTGACGCCGGGTCCGTCCGAAGTCGTTCTCTCCATGCTGTCTTCCGTATTGTAATCTTTTCATCGTCATTACATTTTCCCGAGTGCAAGATTGTTTTGAGTTCAAATTTCTACCGCTTGTGATTTGCACTGTTGCGTGCCTATGAAATCCTCGATGGAGTGTGGATGATCCGACAGATTTTCACTTTTGTTCCTCGATAATTTTTTGGCGTCCATCGATACCAGACGTTTCGCGTCATGGTTTTCTTCATCGGATTGGTCGTGCGAACAGGTGCGCCACGTTTGATCTTGCGCGATACGAACCCCGGTTTTTTTCGTTGTCGAAACATACATGGTCCCACCCACCAGAATTTCCTCGACTTTTCTTTTGAGTGTGCTACGTTCGTCTGGCATGGGAGAGGGACCACTGCCAGTGGAGACGATGTAGAGTTCGTCGCGAGTGATGTCTAGAGATGTTGGTGTTGGTCTCTCGTCGCAGTTTATTTTTTCTTCGTCTATTGTGCTAATTATGCATTTGTCATAACAAAAGTCAGAGTGCTCGCTGGAACAGAGGAAAAAGGAGTGTATGAGTTCGGGAGTTCTATTCGCTGGAGGGGTTCGAAATGACTCGCTTCATCTGTAATAAGCAGGAATGCGTCTATTTCATTTGAAAGAACTCATTTATTACTGTATGATATACGATTTCTCTTCTATTACCGATTTGCGAAAGTCGCTTCTCGGGAATGGAAAGCGTGAATATTCAGGAATGTTACATCTTTCCGCAGGATTCCAGTTCGGTTTCATTATATGTTCTGTTACAAACTGCGTGTTTGTGGTTCCCGTTGAAACAACGCGTACGTGTGCTCTGCTGATCTCGTCTGAAGGATGAATCTCGGATTGCTCGGTAAGTCGGACTTTTCACTGTACTGCTAAATGATGGTTTCAGGTACTGAATAGAACTGATCTCGAGAAAATTTCCAACAATATTTGATGGGTTTAAAATTGCTTTCGGGTGAACGTACATTCTTGACGTAAATGAAGTGTTCGTTTCTAAAATTCTACGAAGCGAAGTTGAACATCATTCAACTGAACCCGTACTTGGCGTCGTGCCTGAATATGTGTAGTCATTTGAGTCGTAAAATTTCATGAAAAACTCGGTTGATACTAATTCAAATGATTTTCTTTTTTTTTTCAGAAACGTTTGTCCAGAGCTATCCAGAAGTAAGCTTTCTTCGTCCATGTTACTTTTTATACTCATTCCGTGCATTTGTTTTGCTTCTCCTAGGAATATGATGGATCGCTGGATTGCGTTACATTAGCCTTGGCCTGTGCTTTCAATAGGCGTGGCTCATTGCTGGCAGTTGGGTGCAATGACGGTCGATTGATAATTTGGGATTTTATCACTCGGGGCATAGCGAAAGTGATCATGGCGCATTCACATCCTCTTTGCGCGCTTAGGTTCGTTTCGATTTCAGATAATCTTGCTATTCTATCCATCGTTACTTTTTTCGAATTTTGACGAATTGCTAAACTGTGCATTTGCGTTACGGATCAACATTTTTGTGATTTAGCTGGAGTAGAACTGGACACAAATTACTCACAGCAGCAACCGACAATTCAGTTTGCTTGTGGGACGTTCTCACGGGAGATTGCGAGCATCGCTATCGCTTTCCGTGCCCCGTCTTGAAAATACAGTTTCACCCAAGGAACCCTTACGAATTTCTTGTGTGTCCAATGCGGCACCCAGCGATTCTCATAGATGTTTCGGAGGATGATCATGGTCCCAAGAGAGAAGGAAATAGTTTTAAGAAGGCTGTCAAGGGTACAGAACCAAAGAGCAGAATCGATGATCCTGGTAATGACGAGGAAATTGTTGATGTCGGGAACGTGGATGAAGAAAGGCAGGAACGTGCTCCGTCTGTATCCACCAGGGGAGAGATTTATCGGAAAATTCCTGTCGTTGAAGACGTGGATGTTGGACTTGCAGCTTCCTATGATCACACTGGTGCTTATATCTTCGTTGGAAACGGCAGGGGGAAAGTGTTCATTATAGAAAATATATGTGCCAAGGATCGCAAAAATGCTGGGAAGTCATCAGCAGATCCGCTAGTTTCAATTCCGTCGTCATCTTTAGCCGGTGCATCGAAGTATTCTGAACCTGCTGACCTTTGTACACCAAAACTTTCTAAAGCAGCGCTGAAGGTTGTTTGGTCCTTCAGAGCGTCAAGTCAGCAGACGTCTGCCGCAGCAATACGCTCGATTGAATTCTCTCGCCGAGGACACGATTTTCTTGTGAATACTGCTGATAGGGTTATACGAGTTTATAGGACCAACAAAATAATGAGTTTAGCGTTACATCGGCCGACTTCAAACATTCCAGAACCTTCGCAAAGGCTTCAGGATCTCGTTAACAAGTAAGTTGAATCTTTATCCGGATGGTACCGGGGAAACTAACTCGCTTAAAATTTCTTATCTCTCTAAGAACTATGTGGAAGAAGTGCTGTTTTTCTGGCGATGGGGAATACATCTGTGCTGGATCCGCTCGTTCGCACTCCTTGTATTTTTGGGAAAAGTCGAACGGAAATTTGGTGAAAATTTTGCACGGCACCAAAGGCGAAGTGCTACTCGATGTTATCGTAGGTTCATTCTAATTTTATTCCTATTCGGGATTCTGCATGACCGGAATGTTCACTGATACATGTAGTGGCATCCTGTACGACCAATAGTGTGCAGTATATCTAGTGGCGTCGTCTCGATTTGGGCTCAGAATCAAGTCGAAAACTGGTCAGCATTCTCTCCGGAATTTAAAGAGCTGGACGAAAATGTTGAGTATGAAGAGAGGGAATCTGAATTCGACTTGAATGACGAAGATCGTAGTCCCGAAGTGAATGTTGAACTTCAAAGCGAAGAAACCGAGGTACAGAGCACTGATTTATTTTGCTTGCTTATGCTGAAAGATGCTGTGAATATTTATAGGTGGACATAATCAAAGTTGAGCGAATCACCGCATTTTGTAGTTCTGATGAAGATGATGATTGGGATGATAAACAACTGATATTTTTGCCGTGTACCCCCGATGTCGAAGAACCTGAAGAATCACGTCCAAGTCTTTCTACTGAAACAGCCACTGGGGATCGACGCGATGATTCGTCCGTTGTACCTCCTTATTTGGCATCAGGACCCGGTCGTAAACGCACTTCGGTTCACGATGTCAATTTAGATGTTGAAATATCCAAAGGTGCGTCAGCGTTGATGCATTACTTGATCTTCCGCAAGTCATGCGGTGTTTACATCATGAAATTAATACTGAAGTGATTGGATCACTCCATCTTTGTTGACGATGTTCATTTTACGTTAATTTATGATGCCTCCGTTTTTTTTTTTTTTTAGATGCACATCCCTGTTTGACGGGTACGAAGAAAGAAAGATTGGCTGCGGGAGTGAAGAAGTTCGGTAAAGAGTTGCGGCGGAAAGGAAAAGATCGGGGGAAGTGATGGCGGATGTGGAAGTTTTTGCAATTTAACGACCGTGTTAAATTCTTTCTTGCTTGATTGACGATGGATCTTTCTTGCTCCACCTTTCCTGTGGAGAGGTGCAAATGATAAATTCTCAGGTTTATAATATTTTGGCTGTGTTCCTGATGCCGAATTTATTCATGGTCCTTTTTTCTTCGTGAGAAGTATTTTCTACGCGTACATTGCTGCCTTGTTGTGTTCATTTGAAAGAAGAAGAAAAAACTTCGACGTTATTTTTATATTTGTGATGAAAAAAAAGCTGACGTTTGCCTTCTTGTTCGTCTACTTATGAATCCATGAAGCGTTGTAAAACTATAAATCTTAGATCCTGTCGCAGAAATGACTAGACCTGATCCATTTTTCGTGAAAATTCCACGCCATGACTTAATTTTCCGGTGATTCCACGTCTGGAGGTCTAAGCTTTCTCTGATCTGACATTTTCTGGCTCCCGTGAATCGCGAATGTTGACTGGTGTATTACCTATGTGGTGATCGTGCCACCTCGGTCGAGGATATACTGCAGTTTCGCAGAATTGTTGAACAATCTTAGATGTACTTCTGTACCTTGCGAAGCAAATATACTTTGGAGTCACGGTTGCGAACATGACTGAGTCTGGTTTATCTGGCATTGTGCTATATTTCGCTCAGCATTTGGAATCTTTTTGTGATGGGACTGCAGGATTTTCTCGACATGTTGTGGTATCGTGAGTGAAATTCGAGTGGTCATTTTTACCCGCACGGTTTCATAATGTTGTTTAGCGGATCCGAAGCCCTGAGGCTCAATAATGAAAGTCGTCTTGCTTGGAACCTGGCTGATTGTTCGTTTTGCTCTCTGTATAAAATGCGAGTTGGTTATCAATGCCAAGAATCAGGTGAAGATGTTTTGTAATAAATTGTTGCACCGAAGTTAAAACGTATTTATTCTGCAGGGAGGAGAATTGGTAACAGAAACCCTCTTCGCTAACACGTCGGATGACACAGTTATGCTGGAGCTTCGGAAAACTGACGGCACGCATGTAACTGTGTTAACAGACTTCAAGAATGTGAGATTACTGTAGTAACCTCAATGTGATGATTTCCAAAATTCCAAACGTTCTATTTCAGAATGCGAATGTATTTCGTCTAATGATTTTGGGGGAGGAGGAGCTAGGAGAACAAGCACACAAAGTTCTATGTTTCCTGCTGCGAGTCCCGATTCCGGATGTTATACCACCCGAAGCGATGTCGAAATTACGTCAAGTAGGTGAAAATCATCAACTATTCAATCATCGCGAATACCGCGTTATTGAATAGTTTGATATTTCGTTTTTTCTTTAAAGTCCGTCTCACTTGCTGAATTTACAGTGTCCAGTCTTTCTGATTTTATAACCACTCGTCGGTAATAGAATTTCTAATCGGATTTTCCACACTCCTGTTCTGAAACTTATATTTGACCTCGAACAGAAAAACCCTGGGACGGTCCGAGTTCCGGAAGATGATAAAGGCTTAGTCGAAACAGTTATGGATGTGTCGCTATTGCCCGAGGTTCTCGGACCCGTAGATAAGCACGCATTATCTCCCCATCTTCCGTCTCTTTGTGGAGAAACTGTCAGTTCAGTTTACGCCAAGGAAGACGATGTGAAATTTTGGCATGAGCGGGATGCGGTTGCAGGTCAGTGAAAGATATGTGTTGGATGTCTAATAGTGATCAGCTTGCATTACCGTATTTAAATGAAGACATCATCTGTTGTTCTTTTACAATTCGCAGATGTTGTCGTGAGTTATGCCCGATTAAATCCAGATTCCTTGTTGCGATGCAAAGACTTGGTCAGTCCTGATGACGCATGTGTTTGCCGTTCAGTTGTGTCGATCCCTTGGTATCCGTGCGGATTGAAATTTTGTGCTTCGAAGGATTCTAATGGAAAAAACACGAATTACCGGTGTGGAATCCAAACTTGTCGGAAGACTTACGGCTTCCTGTTTCGTGTGTTTCGCAAAACTAACTGTCCGTGGGATTTCTAAGTGTTTGCCTGATAATGTGCTTTAACTCGTAAAATATGGCCTCCGGCGAATTTCTGCCCTTGCGCGTTATTCAGCTGGTGTGCTTCATGATTTCGTTGTCCTGCTCAGGCTCTGGGAACTCCTTTTGAACTTCTGGGCTGTGATCTCCGTTTGAAGTGCTTTTGTGTTTTCCTAGCGTACGAGAGAAGCTCTTGATGAGCGCATTTCATCGTTGAAATCCAGAGTTTATTTACGATGAACGGATGACTGTCGCAGTCCGTTGATCGATCTTGTTGAAAAGTCTCTGGTGCCTTCATTTTTTTTTAAACTTTTTTTATTCGGGCGTATTGTGTACATCAAAAGAGGGGACTTGCTTTCACTTTCTTAAGAACTAGCAATAAGTTCAAATAACTGATACGAAGTATCGCTTTCGTTCAACGTTTTCGCTTTTCTACAGAATGGCCGAGTTCAGGTGGATATACTGATTGATGTGAATGTTCGGTTAGCGCGACGGACTAGCTTTGTGGTGAACCATGCAGTGGCTCGGATTCGGAATCCTCTTCGCTTTAGCCGTGGGTTTTCGCTGTGCTGAAGGCGTAACTCTGCGTGAAGACGGCCGATTTTTCTCCTGTGTACTGGAGAAGGAAACTTCCTCTCACAATTTTCCAGAAACTATTTCATAAATTGAGTAATGTTCAAGCTCCAGATACGTTTCAAAAGCTCTCTCAGCGAAGTTTTTTCCAAGTGAACGTCCCATCCGGTAGTTGCTAGAAGCAATAATGAATATGATCTAATGGCCGCGTCCGATCCAGATCCTTTTGATTAGGAATGACTTGAGAACAGTGGGCGAAGTGTCGATTTGAGGTGGATTTTTTATATGCTTGAAACCTTTTTTTGCGATTTTGCCTTTTTCCGTCGATTCGAATTATCGTGTTTTCATTTGCATATTTTCACTGAATATTTTCAGTTTCATATTTTCATTTGCTTCTGTAAGTTCGATAATTTCTTTCATTTTACCCGAATTCTTAGGAATTAACTCAAATCACCTATGTTTCAATGTCGTCGATTCTGAGTTAATCGCTACTTCTTTCGGAGTTTTTTTTATTAAACTTTGTACCACCTTTGCCGCAATGCCAAGCCGGCCGTCGAAGAAGTTCAGTGCACGTTTTCCACCGGTAAGCACATCGTAGACCAAGGAAACTTGGCTAATGTTTGAACGTTGACGTAAATACTTCCTGAACGGTTTGTACTATCGCCTTGAAATTAGCAGTTCCTTCAATTCCCTTTCGAATTACAGTATTTTTTAAGTGCATGGCTTTTTTGTTGAAGGAATTTCTGGGGTTTCCGAAAGGACGTACGTTTTTTCTGTGATTCCCTAAAGATAATGAGCCCCTTGCCACGAAAAAAAGAGGAACCTTTCTTCAATCGAGATAAATTATTTCTTATGCGTTCACCCATCCATCTTCCACGATGAAGCGCCGAAGGGAAAGTGCTTTAAAGTCTGATGCGGGCGGCGCTCGTGAAACTCTTGCTTCCAGTCTGATCTCTCGCTTTGCGCATCATGCTGTAAGCCAAGCCGGCTGGGAAATCCTAAAAAATCCTCGTATAAAATATCTTTAACACCATGACGGGCATCAGAAACTGTGACGATTTAAAAAAAAAAAATTGGTTGAGCTCAATGCGGAAACCAAGCCTGATGAGGACGAACGTCTCAACTTTTTCTCGGGTTAATTTTCTTCAAAATGATGGTTTTACCAATAAAGAAACCATAAAATCGGCTACCATTCGAAATATTGAAAAAGATGCATAGATTTGACTTAACATATTGCAGTTGCTATTGTAGCTCGGACTGTTCAGGAAATATCTTTCGAAAATGTCTTTTTTTCTGCTCCACCATGTAAAGGAAGTGATCGGTACTTCATTTTTTTAGGCCAGGATCAAGAAAATAATGCAAGCGGATGAACAAATTGGGAAGGTTGCTGCCGCCGTTCCGATCATAGTGTATATCCTTTTCATGATCTGAATTACGAATCGCATCTGTAATTTCATATGGTGTCACTTTAATTAATTTTCCTTGACTGCTACGTTTACCTCGCTCCCTTGAGTCGTTCGCAGAGTTACTGCTGAAGCGCATCTCCGACGTTACCCTGTCAAGAAATGCAAAGACTGTGACTACTAGCCACATGTAAGTCGTTTTGTGTGTCTAATCTTATCCTAGAAATGTTACGAACCAACCAACGTTCACCTCTTGTTACCTATGTCGAAGAGATCGCCGAAGAAATCAATTTGTATTTTGGGATATTTTATCCTCACCTCAATGTAGATCGTATGATATTGAAAGAATCCTGAAATTTATTTTCAAATTTCCAGCGTGTCGAAAATTTCGACTTGTGGAAATGTCACGTCAACCCTGACGCAAATGTATGCTTCGTGGCTATCGATAGGCGCATTTTTTTTTGAACCCATCATTAATATTTTTTGGTTACTGTGAAAAAGAAGAGCATGCTGGAAGTACCGTTTGCAAATACTGTATATCAGATCCAATCGATGAATGAAAGCCTCGCCAGGATGTTTGAAACCCATTGTGTTGGTAATGTTCCCATCGGCCGATTTTCGTTCCGAACAATTCTGTGTTGTCATGTGATGACGACCGTCTTCGTCGTAATTTGATGACAGCATCTTGATGCAAGAGAAGCGCTTATTCGAGGCAAATGATTTTTGCTTCAGGAAGGTACTGTTCTGTTGATTTTCCAGTCGTCAAGTGATCATGAGTGACAGCCGTTTGCACTTCTTGAACAAGTACGTGGAGGGAATCCCAGATACTGGTGTCGATGTGGACTACGACAGCAACGCCCACCCAACTCCCGAAGAGATTTGCGGTCCGTTTGCTACGTATGCGTGAAGAGCAACCCTTCCTTTAGATGCGGCTCATTATGTGAGGAAATCGGGTTAAAATATTGTGCTTTTCCTCCTACACTTGGGATATTTTCTCTGTTTGAAACGTTCTAAAGCAATTTTCTTCTATTTTATTCGTGGATCTGATGTTCATAAAGGAAGATCCCCATCCACGGTTACTTGTTTTGGCTTCAGTGTTTCAGTAACTTATTTACGCTATTAGTGTATGCGTGGGATTCGCATGCATCCCAATATCTCTGTGATTTGCGTGTAAATCGTTCATATTCACGTAAAATTGAGATTCTTTTTGAAACATTTACTTTTGATACGTTTGGATTGGACCATTTTGTCACTTGGATCCATCGACTCCATTCATGATAAACTGATTAATGCAATACTTTGTATCTAACGCATATGATTGCTCTGTTGTTCGATGACGGCAGTCGAGCATTGATCTACTCTTGCAGATGTCCTCAGGATATTCATGTCTGTTGAATGTGTGTCGAATGTACTGTGAACACTTCGTCTGTTTTTGATGTTTGCACGTCTTTCTCGGAATGTTTACAAACGGAAATAGTTTTGATATGCACCAATTGACTGATGGGCTAATTAAATCATCCGAAATTGGGCATAGCGTCAGCCGAGACTGGTCTACAGTGCATATTCCTTATTCACAATAAGTCATCACCAGTGGGATTTAGTAAACGAATCGTGCAAGTTAATTTTCTAGTTTAGAAACAGTTTTGGGTAAATTAGCCGGAAATGGGAAGTGCTCATGGTTCCTGAAAGGATAAATCTGTGGGATTCAGTTGACGATTTTTACCTCGTTAAATTTCGATGCGTAGCAAATAAAGAATCTGGTCTTCGTCTAGTTAACAAATAGATATCATGTTCTGAACGCACCAGCTCGAGACTTTCTTCTCTTTACTTTTTGAAACCGCATATTCCCGATTTTCTCCGGAGCATCCCGAGAAGAACTTGAATTAAAGCAATGGAAGTTTGTTTCAGTGCAAGAAGGACAGGTGTGATGTGAGGGTCCTTGCGATGGTTTTGATTATCGAAATTTTGATAGCTGCCTGGGAGGAGGCGTCGAGTAGGATTTCCGTGGTCGTCCTATCAGATTATTCGTGCACTCCGAATGTGTCGATTGCCAGCTTGTTGTGACAATCGTTGCTTTGAATTCTGATAGATTGATTCTGCGCTTATCATCCAGTTCGTAGTTTTATCGAATTTTTTCTGCTATGTGATCTCACTGTTCGAAGCCGCGTACGCGATTCTCGTATTTGGAAGAGTAAAGTTTTCGAACGGAGACTTTAGTTTCATTTTAAGAAAACTTGTCTAAGCGTTGAAGTTTCTTTCGTTTCTATTCCGATTGAAGCGAAATTTTGTGCTGACAGTGGGGAGCGATGTTGCATGTACCTCGTGTGTAGTGTTGGAAGTGAGCCTGTGAAACGCAACCGTCTTGAGTCTTGCGTTCCATTTTAAACTTCTTATCAGCCCTCCACAATTTACGGCTGGTATGCGAGAAGCCTGTGATCTCAGTTATCTTATTTACTGAATCGGTTTCGAATGGGCTGTTGACATCTAGATTTCCGTTAAACTGTGATTGTGGTCATGGAAGAAATATCTTCTAAGCGAAAGTGCTGCACTCGCAGAGTTAAAATTGTCATCAGTGTGCTCTTGGGAGTGCCTTTCGTATCCTTATTGATTCTTGTTGCCGTCTGTCTTGGCAATGCATTCAATGCTCAAAAGCCCAATTGGTTGCCAATTACGGACGAGGAGGATATTCACTTACTCCCAAATGACGAGCAGTCGAGGAATGAGAGAATCACACGTTTCCAGGGCGGACTTCGGTTCCCAACCATTTCTACCTCAGCTGAAGAGGAAGCCAAGACGGATGACCTCGAGAGATTGATATCTTACATCATTCAGAGTAAATTCTTCCGATTCGTTTGGATTACCGCGTTATGAGCTCATCTTTTCTTGAAGGCTTTCCGAAAGTTCATGGAGCGTCCGAACGTATTCAGTTCTGGCGGCTGGGATCAGAATCACCGGGATACAGCTTGTTGTATAAGATCAAAGGAGATGATACGCGTTTACCTCCATATCTGCTCATGGCGCATATGGATGTCGTTCCTGTGGAGGAAAGTCTCTGGGATTTTGATCCATTCGGTGCCGTCATTGATGATGGTTTCATTTATGCGCGTGGGACCATCGATGATAAGAACAACGTTTTTGTAAGTTCTGTTTGTCTTTTTGTAAATTCGCTTCGTTGTCAGCTGTTGTATTAGGCAATTTTGGAAGCGCTGGAATACGTGTTAATCCAAGAGAGGCGGATTGAAAGGACCTTCTATGTCGCTTTTGGACACGATGAGGAGGTAAGGAAAAACATGGTCTTCGTATATCACTGTTCAGAAGTGGAGTTTTGCAGGTGGGCGGTGGTAAGGGAAACAAGATAGTCAGCGAATTTTTACGTCAGGATTGCGAAGTTACGCAGTTGGATTTCATTCTAGATGAGGGTCTATTCATCATCGAGAAGTTGCTTCCAGGCGTCAGTGGACCAGTAGCTTTGTGCGTTGCATTTTGATGTTCGCTAATGCACGCTGTCGAGAGCTTTACTTACTATGTAGGATTGGTGTTACTGAGAAGGGATCAGCTACCGTTGACCTTATAGTAGATGGAATGGATGCGGGTCATTCCAGCAATCCTCCAAGGGAGTCGACAATCGATATCCTGGCATCTGGAATCACGCGGTTGAGATCTAGACCACACCCACTTTCTTTCGATTCGTCTTCCCCCGAGTACCAAATGTTGGAAATACTCGCACCTTATGTGAGCAATCAATTTTCGAATTTGTTTCCACCATTTTTCATCAGCCCGTATCTTCCAAGTCAAGCTTCATGTTCAAGACGGTTTACTCCAATATGTGGCTATTTTCTGGTATAGTCGCCAGTCAAATGAGTGAGAAAAGGGTAACGGATGCCGCTCTTCGAACGACGACCGCATTTACCCTTATAAATGGCGGGATAAAGGTAGATTTTGAATCGTTAGGGGTCTTATCTCGTGAAGATGAAATCAGTAATTTGGTTCTCTAGGTTAACGTTATGCCGTCTACTGCATCGGCGACAGTTAATCACAGAGTTCATTATCGCCAGTCGATTGAAGATGTCGTTGATCATGATCGACAAGCAATCCAAGACAATCGAATTAAAGTGGTCTTGCGGAATGGCAGTTACCCAGCCCATCCAGTTTCGCCGTATGGCGCTAATTCTGGTCCATATCGAATGATCGCGAAAAGCATCCTTCAGATTTACCCAGACGTTCCCATCGGGCCAGGTGTGTAAGAAGGAAGTGGATATTTGAAATGCTGCAGTTGATGCTAGATAGCTTCGTTTTCACAGCTACTCTTATAGCGAATACGGACACTCGGTGGTATCTGGATTTCACGAAAAACATCTACCGCTTCAGTGCCATAAAAATGGATGAGAATGAAACATCGAGGTTTCATGGACATAATGAACGGATCTCCGTGGAAAACTACCTGAACTTGATCAATTTTTATTATCGCTTGATGAAGAACTGTGACGTGGACCCGGTAATTACTGAAGATTTACGACGTGTTGATGAGCTGTGATGCTGTACTGTATTTAGACTCAGAAAGCCATACCATTCAGTGTTCATGTTTTTGACGATCTTTTGACTCGTAATTCAGTTTCCCCTTAGGGTCGATCGGAGAGATAGCCCATGCACGTGATTCGTAGATTGACGAATGTAGCTCTGCGCTTATGGGATTTTTGGGTATCTCATTTCATAATTTCATCGCTCGTTTCATTTTATAGGATGCGATTTGATAATCACTCCGAGAATCACGCTCTGGTGTCTGAACCTCTTGTGCAACCTCACTTATCTTGGACTTTCCTACACTTCTTGCATGTACTACTGTGCACAGGGCTGCAGGATGTGTGTTTCTACATTCATTTTTGCATGGAGGGTGTTGGTTCGTTCTTTCCATTGGCTCATAAAGTAGTTTTTGGTATTCTCTTGATGTTTTTGTGTGGAAACGATGCTGATCTATTTTCGTTTATTTTGTTGCCTAGAAGTGGCACGTAATGTCTTCGGGAACTTGAATTTCCAGTTTACCGCAATACAGGCGCATTTGTCTTGATTTTTGAATCCGTTTTTCTTCCGAGAATTTCATCATTGTCAAATGTTATGCCTTCTGTGTCGAAGTGCAACTTTTTTCATTCCGCCGAGAATTGTAAGTGCAAATGAAGAATTCAATTCCCCTGATTTCCTCGCTCATTTGCATCGGAGGAATCGTGATCTACTCGTATGTGAAATTCCGTAAAGGAGTGAGTTACAATCCTTTTTTAATGCAGAAATGACGACTTGATGAATTACGTTTTCTATAAATTTCTCCCAGGCGCGGAAATCAAGATTCACTCTTCAACAACTTATATTCGGAGAAAGCTTGTCGTATCTTGAGAAGGACTCCGTCGCCGAAGAAATGAAAATTATTGAGTTGAAAACGAATGCAAAATTCAAGTTTACTCCACGTAAGTTTGAGTCTTGGACGAGAGGATGTATTTTCGCTCTCCGTACGTTCCTACCTCATTCATTTTTTTTTCTACCCCTTGTCTACTGACTTTGAATCCAAAGTGTGAGATTTACGATTTCATGTGCGAATTTTTCATTGCTACTGGAGCGCAGAATAACTACGAAAGGTGGTTTTATTGCCAGAAGATGATTACCTGCAAGAGGAAACCTGCGCTTTAATATGAGTATGTAAAACGTCGAAGCTGCTATTATCGAAGGCTTGAGATATCAATGCTTCGAAGAGGCCAAAATTTAGAGATTATTGTGGTTGCCTGCTATGTAGAGTGTATCTGCGGAGGTTTTAAAATTCAACAGCCAGACTTCCCTTTTTTTTCTTGCCTCCGCTTACAATCTGAATGTAGTTCTCTGCTTTCCTCTGTTACCAATTTTCTTCACGGACAATATTCTTTGGACGTGATGGAAGCTGTTCCTCTTTTTTTTATGCGTACAGTAGTGTCTTTTATCCGTTCCAGTTCTCTCGCATCGTGATCGTCCGGACATAATGATTTGCTCAATATCAAGTGACCTTTCTGAATCATCTGTGAATTTGGCGAAAGAAGAATTGCGATTACTTCTGGAATGTCGCTGTTCGGAGATCGAAAGTTCTGATCTACGTCAAGTTGAATTTACAATGAATGCAGATGATTATCATTACTTGACGCACAACTGTGAAGAACTGCTCTATCCTGTTAGAAAGGCTTTAAACAATGCAGTGATGATCGATTTTCGGAATCGTGAGTAAAATCATGGTACTGCAGTACTAGTTGAAGTTCCATTTTTAAATCTTGCTTTTACGATGACAGCAGTTCAATTGGGACATTTCGCGAAATGTTTCCTTCTCTGATATCGGTGACCTTCTAATAGGGAACAGCGCTCTTATTTTCCCCTAGATGAGCGTGAAAACTTCAAAGTTTGCATTTGCACGAGCAGTGATTTGGAGCCATGTAATGAAGCAGTTCGCCGAATCCAAGAAGAACTGGATAAGGTAGCGTATGAGAGATCCCGCAGCTTTGAAGGCGTACTTACGTCTTCGAAATGAATTGGAATTCGTATTCGTTGAGTTAAGGCTGGGCAGGCAGGGATACTTCGTCAGGAAAGAAGCCCGACTTGTTCAGCATATTCTTCGGATTATCTGTCTTATCTGCTTCACTCATGACGCTATTCTTAATTGGATGTTGAGGGTAAGAGAAGAGGGAAAAACTAGCGGAGGTAGATGCCTCGGATTCGTTTGTAGAGAATCAGTGCACCGAAGAGGTAAGGTGGGTCCTTTCGAATTTTTTTTTTCTGGTTGACCTTAGCCGAATCTGAAATCGGGGTTTTAGCTCTGCTTTTTTCGAAATTTTGCCCTTATCTTTCAAAATCAGGAATGATCGATTGATTCTTCTTATGAGTCAATCCGTTTATTTTCCGTCCATAATGAAGCCTTCTGCTTTTAGAAAAAACAGCCAGAATTCCGAAGGAAAAGTTAATTCTTGTTTTTGTAGTTTTTGCCCATGCTTCTGTTCTCATGCTGATTTTTTTCCTGCGCGTTCCTTCATTTTGATTCTTTGTCTTCGATCCGAGGGCGAAAGGCTACAGAGCGGGAACCTTGCGAAACAATGTGAACCCCTCATTTCATGCAGCTTTACTTATCCGGTAAAATTATCGAATGAATCTTCGGATGGCGTGTATTTTACCTTTAAAAACGCAACCGTATAGTAGAATTTCGGTTATCACTGTCACGATTGAGGATTGACCATGCGTGTATATAAAATATGTAGCTGACGCTATCAGCATCCGGGAAGCGTCTGTAATGCAGTAATATTCACGGTAATCTTCAAGATTTTTCTGATACTTGGTCAATCTATGTTAAATATCTCGTTTTTCTTGATAACCGGAAAGTTGTAATACATTTTTGTCTTATTCGATTCTCCGCGATTTTCAATTACGGAAAGAGGCATCCAGTCATGAGCCTGGACAAACGAATGTCGTCTGTGTCGGGAAAACTGCCCGCAGCTACAACTCGTTGCTGTGCAAAAACTTGCCGTAGGTTCAATTCGGCCCCGAGTAGCCTCAGTTAAAATTTAAGATAATCTATGCCGTATTGGGGATAAAGTGCTCAAGACGCGCTTCATTTTTTTCTGTGCTGAATTGTTTCTAGGGTTGTTTTGAAATCCGGCATTTATCAATCTTACTGGACTTCTTTGTGCATAATCTTACCTGAGAAAGTGTTGTCCTGGAATTCATTTCTGAGGAGATTATTTCCACCATTAACGGTGAGTGTCCAGGTACAGTATTATTTAATCATCCTGCTTAACATCAGTGCAGGTATATCCGGTCCCTTATTATATGGAATCCTGACACGGGCTTTGAAAAGACGAACACGGACCAGAAGTAACTATTAGTTCGCATCTTCGTTGCATGAATAAATTATGCGTCAAGTTTTGGCAGTGGCAAGTTGCAGCTTCAGAAAGTTGTGGCTGTGGCAACTTGAGACAGTGGCAAGACATTGCCGCTGCAATTTCGGGCTTAGCAATTTCCCTTGCCCAATAAGTTTCACTTGTACCAAATTCCCATGTACCATTTGGTTTGAAGAATGAGGAGAAATTTTGAGACGATTGCTGTAGTTTCATGTCTCAGTTGTGGTGATATCTTGCATTCTTAGTGTTTGGTGCATTCTTAATGCTATAGCGAGCGGTTCAGATGAGTGCTGGATGTTGGAATACTTGTATCTCAAAAGATGGAAGTTTTATTGAACTCATATTTCAGAATATTTTGTACTGTATTGTGATTTCGTGTCGTTCCCAAGATTGTATGCACTGTTGATTAGGTCAGGTGCCCTGTCCTGCTCAACTCGTGCGTGTTAGGAACCGATTTTGTTTTTGTTTTGACAACTGTGAGGGTATATCAAAGCACGAGAGTATCATATCAAATAATTTTGATATGCAACGTTGGGTTTTTTCATTTTATTAATCGACAATGTCCTCTTCTGCTTAAAACTGATTCATGTGTCTGCGAGTTATATCATCTGATTTTCGCGATGGATTCCGTTTCAGGTTGCATTGGGCATATTTGCTTCGATTAAAGCGGGCGTGTGTGTGTGTGTGTGTGCGGAGCCGAGAAAGAGATAAAGAGATTCTCAAGTTCTTTTTATCGTCCATGATTCCGCATCTCTCGAATCGCCATGGTACTGTTCCAGTGATTGGATAATGTTATCTTAGTAACGCTGATGTTTCGAATTTCATTCATATTTCAGGGTAACGAAGCGTCTGTGGAGATGTGTTCTTGTTGTACGTATTTCAACTTTGAACATTTCATTCATCCGATGAAACGTGGTATCATTTACAGTTGATTCTGACGAGATTCGACGACTTGGCAAACGTTTTCGCAAGTTGGATTTGGACAATTCTGGGGCACTAAGCATCGAGGAATTTATGTCCCTCCCTGAATTGCAGCAGAACCCTCTCGTTCAGCGAGTTATAAACATATTTGATGCTGATGGTAACGGGGAAGTTGATTTCAAAGGTTTGTGTTTATTCGTCCATCTTTAAGGAGGTGAAGAACTATTACAAGATGTTTGTCATTGTTCCTCCGAAAGAATTCATCCAAGGAGTATCGCAGTTCAGTGTAAAAGGCGATAAAGAATCAAAATTGCGATTCGCTTTCCGTATCTACGACTTGGATAATGATGGATATATCTCTAACATTGAGCTTTATACGGTAAGTAACGAAGGAAAATCGCAAGGATTTAAAGGATTTTCCAAGTGTATCGTTATTTCAGGTGTTGAAAATGATGGTGGGGAACAACTTGAAGGAAGCGCAGCTGCAACAGATAGTGGATAAAACGATCTTATTTCATGACAAAGACGTGGACGGAAAAATCTCCTTCGAAGAATTCTGTGCCGTTAGTAAATTGCTTCTTCATGCCATTAATTTACAGGAATTAGAGAAAGGCTATTCGATTATTATTTTGGAAAATTTACAGTACTATTATTTGGATTTTTTTGTTTTTTTGTTAAATATACAAGGCTCTTTTGTCCAAAAATCGTGTTGTTAGGCTTCTTCATCTTCATATCGTTTTCGATTGAGGTACGAGGCTTACTCTGAAAGGTTCGAAGAAGATTCGTTGTGGATACAATTTGACGATTTCAATGGGAAACTTAAGTTATTCTCAATTAAATTTTTTCGAGCTCCGAGAAGTCAAGTAATTATCAATTGTTTTCCCGGCCAGATTGTTGGAAACATGGATGTTCACACGAAGATGGTGGTCGACGTCTGAATCAATTCCATTCTATCCTCATCCGTGCGATGTCGTTTGTTGGCCTGGTATAACTCTCAAGTGCTTCGCGGGTATTCAACTAATCTTTATTTTTGAACGTACTGTAGTCGAACATTCGTCCTTCAATAAAAGATTACGTTGATTTTTTTCATCTGCTTGAGTAAGCGTTGCCAGTGTGTTGGAATCATCGTCAATCGTGGATTTGGAGGTTTTAAAAATCTTCGTTGAACGCACAGGCGTCGTTTTCGTCATCTTCGTTTTTTCGGCATTTTAGCGCTGTTGTCTCCGCTTTTTGTTGTTAGTGGGTGATCAAGATGCGTTGATAGTCATGTTTGAGCATTCTTCGCAGAATTCGAGGATCACTCCGGCCTTTTGGTTTGTGATAAAACTCCGGCGATTATTTGTGCTGTTCGTGTTGAATTGCGATGTTCGCGAGTGTTGCGTGTTCTCAAGTATCGGTGTTGCTGTTATCGTGGAAAGTTGTCGTACAGAAAGCTTATTTTTTAGTTGTCTGTCTTCTTCAATTGTGTCGGTTGTGGTGAAGATCAGGATTACGTTTTTTCCTTATTACTGGTTCTTCGTCTTCGTTGATTCGCAGCACATGCAGTGGCTTGTGGAAAAACGGATTTTTGTGTGAAAATAAAGAATCTGGAAATTTTAATGGTGCCATGGATTCTATGAGTGTCACGCAAATGTCGCAGTGTCGTACGTTCAGATAAGCACCACCCAGTCTACTTGGAATTCGGATTATCATCGTCCCTATGTGAAAATTATCAGATGCCGACCACCGAACCGTTTCGTGCCTTCGGTGAGTAATTTTCAATATGATAACCAATTTTCAATACGATAACAGAACCCGTCGGTTTTGTACCCAGTATGGGACGGGCTGACCTCAGAAATAGACGGAATCGAATTATATAATCGCGTCTTTTGCTATGCGTGAGACAGTTCCCGATTCTCAGATGAGAGCTGGTGCTGGGGATGTGTTGATGAACTCTTGCGGAGTTCGATTCGTCGCGTGTAAAGAACACAACTTTTTCCTGGATGAAATTCATCTTCGAAATAGATAGCGAACCGCGTTAAATAGAATAATACCTTGGTCGCTTTTGTTGGGTTGATCTGGTCTTCCGCAACCTCGTATTTCTTAGAGTCTCGTTGGTGGGCTGTCATAATGGGAATTGCGAGCTTATTAGTAGTTCTCGTCGGATTTCTTGAGTTGCCAGACGTCGAATGTGAAATGCTCCAGGTGGTCCGACCTCTCCCCGTGCAAAAAGGTGCGTGGGAATCATTTTATGAGAATACATCAGTACCGTATTCTACGCAATTACTGGCCGCACCGTGATTCGTGCTTTTATTTTAGAAGGAAGAACTTCACAGGCTGCAAATTTAAAATGTTGGAGGATCTATGCGGCCGAAATACAGTAACTAAACCTGCTAACTTTACTGAAAGAATCTATCTTGTTCTATACTGAGTAGACCTTGTACAACCACTAGAAAGCGGCTCTGGTACTGCAAGTGCTCAATATACAGTAGTACACGCTGCTCCATAGTTTTTATGCACTGATTTTGTGAGAGTGCTGCCTCCCTCTAATCAAGTACTGTACAGTGAATGGGGTAGCGAAAGCCAAGAAAACTATGCGTCTTTTTTTCTTCGAGAGTAATGTTGGTTATTCGCGATTAGTACCGTATTTATTCTAGTTGACGAAATCTCGTTTCTGCGTATTCTATAGAAATCCTGGATCAGCTCTCACTTGGGAGCGTCACGATCAATTTCCGGGGGGATGGGTTGCCATTCGGTTTGGAATTCCGAGTAGCAGGTGATGCCAGCTTTTGTTCCTGGCAAAATTTGAAATTTGTGTGAAGTTCTCGTAAATCTCATCAGACGATGTGGTCGTGACGGGACAGATCGGTGTCTCCATGGGTTCGGAGGTACTGCTTGCTAAGCCAGAAGCCTGTGCTTCACCTGCCGATAATGCGGTTTGTGCACTGTGGCCTGAATCTGGGATATCCGTTCAGTTGTATCAAGATGAACCCTGCGTTACTGTGGAATGGAGTGGGGAATTAACGGCAAGTTTCTCGGGATCTTTACACTACTTCGATAGGCATTACTGAGCGACTGTTCGTTCGTGTATTGATCTTTAGCAAACTAGCGATTGCTTTGAAACCAGCCCTGGAAGTCATTGGTATGGTGGTGGCGAGCAGTACCGCCAACCCTGGCCGCTGGAATTGCAAGAACGTCTGAACTTTCCTTTCGTCACGGGGGACATGCTACAAAATGAAACGGCGTTCTACGGGGGCCTGATCGAACGATACTTTTTGAATTCCAGAGGGATGGGTATCTACATTTCTCCAGACGTACGTTCGAGTTCCTGTACTACTATATTTCTATAGAACGCGAAATGCAGTCAGTTTAGAATTTTAGATAGAAATAGATATTAAAACCGCTGGGTTATCTTTGATGATTGCTTGGAAAAATTCTTGCACTCCATGATACCTGAAGTTTTTGAAATTTTTTACGGTGGAAGGAGGGAGGACCTTGAGAGTATGCAGGTACTGTATCTTATTTGACTGTCAATCTGTAGGAAAATCTGTACATTATCTCTGATTTTCGCATAGATTTCAATGGTCAATGATTGATCATCCCGCATTTTTTCAAGGAAAGCCAAGAAAACTCATCCCAAAATGGATTAAATATGATTTTTAAATTTAAAACTTATTAAATAAGTGCACAGAAGAGAACATCACAGAATTTATCGTGTTTGGCATCAAAAGCAGTAGAAAAAGCAAAAGGGGACGCGCGCTATAGTGCACAGTTGAAGGAAAAAGCACTGCTTTGCTGCTGAAAGAGAAGCAAAGTTTGTTTTGGGCTGAAGAAGCAGTAAATGTGCATTGAATGCACTTCTCAAAAACTGTAGTTCACTTCAGTGATCTATGCATCCGGAAATGGAAGTACATTTGACGACAACTTTTCAAAGTGCACTTTAAAAAGTTGTCATCAAATGTTCTTCCAAGTTAGGAGAAACTATGGTTTCGCATTTTCCACTATGGACTCATGAGTCCATGGTGGAAAACGCGAAACCATAGTTTCTCCGAACTTGGAACATGATTTTATTGGCCATCATCGATTAAATGTACTGCTTAGGGTGGATGAGAAGGATGTAACTGGATTTCAACTGAGATATCCTGAGTTGATATGGCCACCATGGACTTGATATTCACTTTGAAACTTGTGATTGATCGCGCAAAGCGAATTGTCACAAAGAAACAGTAAGATCTGTTCAATACTGCTGAATTTATTGAACCTCGCTGCATTGGCAAAACCCCAGAATAACAGAACTACCATTTACAAACCCTATTTATTGCTACATTATTTTGCGCTGCCTTCCGTTTTAATTTTTGTCATTATGTACCGAGGTTTGACAAGTTCAGAGGCGATTTCATAAAATTTTCAAGTTTGTGAAAATGCGCTGTGTAATAAACTGATGCGTGTCAATGACAGATTGCAGCGGTGGATTGAGATACTCCATCCTTCAGAATATTTAATGAAAAACATGTTGTTTATGCCAAATTGAACCTTTTAAAACATACGAGGCGTATTCAAAGCAGAAGTGAACCTTTTTGAACCCTTGAAGTGACTGAATAAATTCAGACGCATTTTCTCAAAATTAGTTTTCCAAACTCTCGCGCATATACAGTATTGACCATGCAGCTCCATTTATGAAAGTTATGCACTTTTCAAGTTGATTTAATACGCTTTTTTGACGTGTTTGAAGCATTAAAGTTGCCCTGTTAGCTCAGGATATTTTAAAAGATTATTTTTTGCATTGTGGAAACTGTGCTTTCGTATCAAGTCAATCCAGGTATTTGTGGCAGATTATTTTCTGTGAAATCTCTGTAATTTGTATTGTCTGAATGTTGGGATATCCATGTGTCAAAATTCCGACTGCACTTTCGAATTTAAAATTCTTACCTTGCAGGGTTTTATGCACTAGCATTCTTGTACCCTGCAACTCCCTCATATATGGGGTTCTCCCGCAGGATTTTCTCATGGAGTCCTTCCAAACTATATTTTAAAATTCAATACCGTTTTACAAGTATGTTAATCGTTTAAGAACTATAAACTTGACAAAGAAGTTGCCAATCTAGGGAGACAAATTTAATGAACTGCAGTCGATTTGATTTGGAATACCTCAAGAAGTTTCTATGTTGCAATACTTCTGATACTTCTATGGGCAACGCAGTTTTTGAGACTTCAGGACTGTAAGATTGTGCCATGTTTCATTTTAATTTCTCAAAATATGATCGCTTGGTCATTCTAAAAACGATAATGGGTGAACAAAGTAACATTCATTTTAAAACTGATGTATTATTAAAATTTTGGAGGATGACAATTTTTAAACACTTGGAAATTGAAGCTCATTTGAGAATTTCTGAGTAGTGCGTACATTCAGGGTTCAATTTCTAACATTTTTTCTATGGCTCCTCAAACAAAACTGAAGTTATAGATAAACAAGATTTTTTTCTGCCGAACAGAGTTCAGCGTAATGAAGAAAAATGCTAGCTTCTGATCAGCTCATCATTATCTATACATTTTCTGGTTACATTTTCAATTTGGCCACCATTTTTCATGCAATATAGAACATACTTTTTCCGCTCAGAAATCAAGTATTTTTGTCGAGTATGATTCCTTCTTACTTCTATTTTTCCGGAGAAATGTTTCGAAAATACTTTGTTTTAAAGATGGAATTTTAGTGCCGAAGAAAATTTTTATTTCTTTCATCAAGATCAGTTGGGGTCCACATTTCTCCTTCACATGGATTTTTTGTGTTATCATCAGTCCCTATTGCAGTACTGTATCTTAGCTTCCATTTTGTTTTCATATTTCGTTTCTGCATTATGCACTTGAAGACAAATACAAACGAGGAGTAAGCAGCAGTTTCCTTTCTGGATTCTGTACGTAACAATTGAATCTTGAATCCGTGCTATTGTTAATTAAATATGCTTATTTGACTGCTAATTTTTCTGTATTAAATTGTTGAAATATTCAGTTTTACTCACAATCTTCATTGCAATATATGGCGGTAACTTGCGGTATTGGCAAGTTGTATAGCTGCAGCAGCTTGAAGCTGTAGAAATTCGTTGCTACAGTAAGACTTGCAATATTAGGTTACGTCCTGAGTTCATTACGAAAGCCCCATGAATATGAAATGAAATGCAGATGCCGCCGAAAATTACATGACGAAGGGATTTGAAAAAAAAAAAGGTTTTCGGTTTTGCGTAAGGTGCCTCGAGTATTATCCGAATACAATACTAGGAGGAAGAAATGAAGCGGAAATTCAATGAGTACTGAACTGCTACAATCTGTAATCAGTCCCCTCATCTGCGGGTGATTCTCAAAAGAAACGAAAACTGACTAGGGTTACAGATTATTTCTCCAACACTACATTTGAAGCTTCAGCTTCCGAAACAAAAGTTTCTCAAACTTTCGGCAATCTGGGCTTTGCTCTCTCATTTCATTCACAGTGAATTCTTTGACTTCTGTTTGTCGTGCTCACTCCGCTCATAGGTTCCGCTGTTTCACACGGTGACAAACGGCACGCTTTGTTTCAATGGGAAAGTCGAACTTCCATTCAAAGCTCCGGAGCTGGAGCTCCCATCATCGAACTTCTTGTTCAAATACGATTTATGCTCGGCCGGCATCGATCCGAGGGAAACTCACGTGGAAATGGCCAGAAAATTCATTAGTGCTCCGGTTTCCGCTCCTGATGAACGTATGATTAGAGCTCCTATCTGGTCCTCTTGGGCACGCTTCAAAGAAAACGTCAACGAATCTGTGATCCTTGCCTTCGCCGAAGAAATCAGTTCAAATGGCTACCCGAACGCCCAAGTTAATATACTGTATTCTTTCTCTCGAAGGAAGAAATCAGTTTTTAAAAATTTGGATTTACAGGTCGAAATTGACGATAATTGGGAAACGTGTTACGGAGAACTCTCCTTCGATCCAGAGAAGTTTCCAGATCCAGCAAGGATGATTCGCGATTTAAATGACATGGGATATCGCACTACTGTCTGGGTCCACCCCTTCATGAATTCAAATTGTGAACAATATCCGATCGCATCTGACGTGAGTCGCATGAGAAGAGCCTTCACCTGCGATGACGATGTGGGCTAATTAATTATTTATTCAGGCTAAATATTTCATCCTGAACGGCGCAAAAAATCAAACTGCGTGGTCCGTGTGGTGGAAAGGATTCGGGGGACTTGTGGATTTCACGAATCCTCGAGCTGTCGAATGGTACGAAATCAATTTTTCTTCACATTTCTCGCATGGCTTACTTCGGCATGTGCAATTTTGTGCTACGTCGATGGATTTGAATATTCTTCGCGAGACGAATGGACACCGCTGCCGGATGCGATCAGAAATAGTTTTGGTCCACCTTTTGATCCGACGAAATTTACTCGATTGAGCGCAGATATTCAGAGAAGAGTCAAAATTACGCGTTCATTCGGAAATGCGCTTCTCATTTTAAAATATAAATGAGCAACAACAGGAATCCGGCGATTACCGCAGACGGGTGGCTTATCAACAATTTTGACTCGCGAGCATTTTTCGTGATCAATTCAGCGACTGATGTCCTCGAGATACTGTAATATCATTCTGGGACTTTTACATCGTACTTGAGACCAGAACACACAGGGGTTCCAGAACGACATAACCTGTTTTATATGTTACATGGTGAACCTATCAGAAGGCCCTATCTGTGGAGAAGGCACTTGGATTTTGTTTGTTAATCGGGATTCTCTTTGTTTCCGAATGACTGCCAGTGTCCCTAAATGGTTTATCTTTTCCTTTTTTTCTAATCGCGGTAGTTATTGCTTAGCATTAGTCGATGGCGTGTGTTTGCTGTTCTGGTGACTCATCCCGTAGAACGGCATGTGGCGTTCCTCCTTGAATTCCCTGGAATATTCGTTCCTTTCCTATAGCAGGTTAATCCGTTGATGTTGCCTTTGTTCGTAAAGCATGCTTTTATTGCTTCGGAATACACTCGACCGCTGGACTTGCTTCAGCAAGAAATGAACACCGAGCACCCATCTTCCGGGAAATTTCCTGATTCTTATTCCAGGTTCACTGGACGCTTGGAAAAACTGCGGGCAGAGACTGGGATTGATTCGTTCAAGTTTGATGCGGGTGAAGTGAATTGGATTGCGAGGGATTACTCGTTGTTTGATGCAACACTGATGTCCCAGCCGGAAGCGTTTTCAACACGTTACGTGGACATCGTGTCGCACTTCGGTCCAATGGCCGAAGTTCGAACGGGTATTTATCTCTGAAATGCCTGCGATATTTCCTCATCTTTTGCTTCTTCGTGTAAACGTGCAATTCTTTAGGTAGGAGGAATCAAAATGCGGGAATTTATTTTAGAATGCTGGACAAATTGAGCGTTTGGGGTGACGCGAACGGACTGGCCACCTTGATCCCGTCGCTTCTTCACTCGAACTTTATCGGTTATCCTTTCGTATTGCCCGATATGATTGGCGGAAATGGCTACAGCGAAGGTTTTCCTAATAAGTGAGAAGCCTCGGATTTTTATTTTATATTTTATTGCTTTGTGGCGATCTGCGCGGTATGGGATGCAGAATCTTCCTCTTTCTCTTTTCCGCAGGGAACTTTTCATTCGTTGGCTTCAAGCGAACGTTTTTATGCCGACGCTGCAATTTTCTTACTGCCCGTGGCAGTATGACGAGGAAACTAATCAAATTTCTAAACGCTTCGTTCAACTCCATGAAGAATTTTCCGATATAATAATTGAGTTGACGAGGCAGGCCGTCGATAATCCCGGCTTTATGGTTAATCGCCCGATTTGGTGGATCGATCCCTTTGACGAAAGGGCGCTGACCGTCAGTGATGGTACGTGAATCTGACAAATAATTTTATTAGTTCGTCTTCAGTACATGCTTGGCTGAGGTTGCGCCTATTCGTGGAAGTTCTAAGGCTTGAAACCACTGGACGATAAAAATCCCTTATTCGTTTTAAAAATCCTGTAGTTTAGTTTTCCCGAATTTGCGATGTTCTTGCATTCACCTTATGCATAGTCTGGATGCAGTTCTTCGTGAGTGTTTATGATTCTTTCTGTAAGAAAGGATCTAAGAAAAAATTAATAGCCGGGAATCAATACTCAATAGGATGATGAGTGGTTTATTTTCGTTCAGCCCTTCGGTTCCATAGCTCATTGATGTCAGAGACAGTCATGCTTTTTACCTTTTTTTGCCATATTTAATCATTTTCTGATCACTGTGCGAAAGGTTGCTCAAATCAGTTAAAATATACTGTATATCATATTATCAGGCATAAAGAAAAAAATAAAGCGCATCAGAAAATTAAAAGTTGAAAATAAGTTGTGCAATCGCATCTATGAAAATTTGCCACGTCATTAATATATTTTGAAATGATAAAAAATGCTTCTACTAGTGATGTCCCAAATGTGACTACCATAGTTACGATGAAGGGAGAAGAGCATTTGATTTTGTGTTGGCAAGGGATACGTTAGTGATGCGAGCAGATTGTGAGGATTGTTCTTGAATGTCCATTGGCGGACTATAAGTTACACAATGCAGCACGGCTACTAAAGAACTCACATCGTGAAGAAAGGAGTAGTGTACAGCACTTCCTTTTTTGACAAAGGGGGTTCTTCACGGAGAACGAATTGTTCCAATCTTGCCGTTATTGACCTCAAAGGGCTTCTCTGGTTGCCTTCTCACTCAGACCCTATGGAACCCGAAAAATGTCCTCTTATCTCACATTCAAAAATGTTGGACTATCGTCTGTAGTCATGTTTTTATTTCTCGAGAATAAGGAAAGATAAAGAAAAAGTTACACGAGTGCAATACCCTCATCACGCTTTTCTATAATTACCGTAATCTGTTCATCTTTGAAACTTTCTAACTTATTCTTCGCTTGATGGACAGAATTCTTGCTTGGAGACTCAATCCTTGTTGCGCCTGTGCTAGAGGAAGGAGAAACTTCCAGAGATATATATTTACCTCGTGGGCGTTGGGAGGATCAGGTGTCAGAAGACCGTCCGGTTTACGAAGGGCCGATCACTTTGGAGAATTACCCGGCACCATTGGATGTTCTTCCGTACTTCATAGCAGTTCCCTGAAAAACTGACCTCTTCTGATGTGTATCGAATCGTAGACAATGAACTGATGTACTGTATAACGCTCTATTCACCTTCGTCGCAGTTGCTTTTAATCTAATCGTGCTGGGTGCATGAAAAATGGGAACGATATTTTATGCCTGGGTCGATCGTCACGTGCTTCAGATCTTCGATCGTTAGAAACGAACGAGCAGGTGTGGATTTTCCATTGAATGTCCCTCTCACATTCGTATGCGTGTGCTCAGTTTTGTGGCGAAATAAAATGACGTCGTGGAATTATTCCTTTCTCTCCTTTTTTTTATGAGACCGACCTCATACACGAAGTCGCATTGGTGATGAATAAGTCCGACTGTAATGGAAGCTACCGTCACCCTTACTTGTACCGGAAACCGAAACATTATAAAAGATACTTCTCGAGTTAGCATGTCACACCCGCGCGTCTGCTGCATTCATCGATTTATCTCGTTCATGTCCAATTTTTTCCTGTCACGGTTACCAGGATGTTTTCGGAACTTTCTGCTGTTGAGCTGTCTCCTTTTCGTCTTCAGAAATAACTTGCATCTCATCTTTTTACTCTTCGAGGAGACTTTCTGCATGAAAAGATTACACTTTTTTTGCATTCTTGTAATGCATCTCATCAGGAGGTCCTTTTTCGCGTGTGATGTAACGAACGTATAGAACTACATATTACGCGGATGACCCTTTTCTTTGATGTTCTATTCCAAGCTTCTTAGGGTCCCGTGATGGAAAAATTACATCGGAGCAGGGAGAGGTAAATGAAAACGAAAATCATGTGTGTTCCATCATTTGAAATAATGCCGAACGGCCAGCTGGTAGGACTTTCAGAAAGACCCTGCACTCAAGAGCCAGCTACAATATTTCTGTTTCGCATCTTGTGTGGGTGTCAGCTATGTTTCTGGGTCTGGTGAATGTATCGCCTGCTTATACAACGTGACACAAAGGAAAAACCACACACCACCTCCGCAAAGAATACAGCTGAGCTTTCGCCGTCTCATATCTCCATTGACTGCATACGTAGTCCAGAATATGAAATGCGAAGACGCGACATTCGCGGAGTTGTTTTATTCCACGTTTTCTAATACAGTGGCACGGTTGCAACACTGCGAATCTGATTAATAAATGAGATTATGTTTACTGTGGCGCGTGTGCAAGTTGCCGACGGCATTTCACGGTTGTTACACATGTCGCCGCCACCGTTTATATCTGCGGGATTAATTTTCAAATTATGCTGGATGAATTCGAGCATGCTTGATTTTTGAGACTGCCTTCCACATTGGCTTTCGCAAAATTCGATGAGCGTGATCAATAATTTGCTCGGAGTGAAATCATCCTGATAGACCATAACATTTCTTTCGAATGTTGAGCTTGAAAAATTCAGTTATTTTATCGGTTTTCTTGCTGTGTGGGACAGGTTGGCGCGATAAATAAGCACGATAAATTTTATTTTTGTTACTGTCACTCATCAGGCAATTTCGTGACGCTTATTCACTTTGGAGATTTGTGTTCTGGGATTTTATTCAAGTATACCCATCCTGATGCGTGTATAGTTTCGTATCTACACGCGAACAGTACTTCATAAGCGCAATTTCCAAGCTTCTTTGGAGCTGTCCGACATGTAACTACCAGAGCTTTAGGCAGCATGACTGAAGCGTTTTAGGAATCCGACTTTTTTTTTTGCTGTTCTACTAGAAATATTGCATCTTTTGAAACGCAGTAGATCATTATCCTGGCTTCGATTAACATGTGTTCTGTCAAAAATGCAAAACGTTTTATTCAATAAAATGTTTATCTATGTTTCATTCACCGCCTCTTCTCCCTCTCAATGTCCTAGCGGGTGTAGTATCACTGATGGTTACGTATTTATGTACGGTATAATAAGTGCTCTGCAATATGCCCTGTCTTGGTTGAATTACTCTACTCGTCTGCCGAAAACAATTTGTTGACCTTCAATTCTCCGTGTTGATCGATCAACACGAAGGCAACCAGTCATTAGCCTGGATTATCGAAGTCATGTTGCATTTGCAGGCGAACTTCACAAAACCTTGGTGTTGATCATTATGAAGAGTACAGTACAGTTCTGTACTCCGTTATTGCGGAAAAGGTGCATATTCAAATCACATGCGAGTGAAATGGTTTGCAAGGGCCATAAATAATGACCTATGCGTGCAGAATTTTCCCATGAATGGCATTTTTGTGGAAAGAATCTAGCCGTAATCATTAACCCTTCTCTCGTAAACTACGGGCACATCCTTTGTGCTAAAAATTGGAAAATTTGAAATGGCTTCAAAATAATTCCCCGTAGTTTATATACAGTGTAGGTTTTCGTCGTAAAGAAGCTCATTATGCATGCATACAATGTCGACCGAGACTAAAAAAAAAGTTTCAGAGATGCAGTTTTCTCTTTATTTTTGGTTCATTGTCGGGGTCGTTCATCTCATGGCGTATTGGGCTACCGTAAAACTCAGGATTATCCATGCTGAAGAACTGTTGATGATGAAATGTTACAATATTAGTACAGTATGTTTATACAACTGGCAAGAAATCAAGAATAATTGAACCTAATATTGCGAAAATTCCGCGAAAGCTGGAAGTTCATCAGCTCAGACTTATGTCCGCTGGAGGGAAATAAAGTCGATAAAAAAGCATGCGTACTGCATTCTGATGTGTGCAAAATGTTTTGTCTGTCAGGAGTTTAAAACCATTGGTGCAGGGAATTGTGTACAAAATGAAGTAGGATTTTTTCGGACTCCTTGGTTCATCAAGATGAAGCCGGCTACTGATGGAAATATTTCGTTAATTTATCATTAACTTTATTTGAAAGAGAATGAATTGTTTGATGCCAAGTAAAAAATTGATATGTCCTCAACCACCATGTCCTCCGATCAGTCTGAGGTCATAGTGGTGAATACTGTAGTTGTGCGGCCCTGTAGCTATTGTAGAGAAAGCTGTGCATAGATGGATAATTGTTCGAGTTGGCACACTATAGGCACGAGGTACGGAATGAACCCTAGCATGTCTTGAAAGTGGAATAACACTTCACGAGCAAATCGAAAATCACTTCTGGTCGAAAGGGATCGAAATCCGAACGCGACCAGTCAGTGCCTAGAATAATCCGATTTCAACAGAACAGTAATTCTTGAGACATTCGAACGTGTGTCGGGTTCAGAGAATGCCGCTAGCGGGTCGCGACAGCTCGTTAGCGTCCACCAAGGTGAGGGTTGAAATTTGTTGCCCTTCTTGATTGCAGCACGTGCGGTAATCTGTCCTTCCGCCTGTCACCGGAACGTGCCGCGTCTGTTGGTATATCCCATTGGGACTGTCTTAAGCCACGAGGAAATCCTCCGAGCGACACGTGTCCGTGCCGCAATCCCGCCGCGTTTCCGGTCGCCCGCCTTGCTTCTTCTAGCATTGCTTTTGATCGGGTGTTCCGGGTGAAGGTGAAGAAGGAGAGAGGATTGACGCCGGACTAATACGTCGCGCCTGTCTCGGGGGACCCCTTGTTCACGCGCTTCGTTCCAAAGGTTATTAATCTTCATTGAATGCAAGCTTCTCTCTGGATCACACCCTGCTAGCTTTCTGTGCAGGTGGGAACAAGTAACTTACGCGTGTTTCTCTCGGATTTTAAGAAGCCTCCAGGGAAGTCTTGCAGTGACGCGCTGTTTTCTTTGAATCTATTTTTCTCGCCATCTTCGGCCAAACTCGCAAGCATGTACACGATGTATTCGATGCATAAGACTTCGGCTTTGGCCGTGACTCGCGATCATGTAGATAGGAAGAGATCAAGTGACGGGATAATGAGGCAGACAAAATTCGTGCGAGAGGTAAAGCTTCCAGGTGTAACCCGGGTGTTTTATGGGGTTATTTCGGTATTCCGTGGGTTTTTGAAAGATTCTTACATAATCTCTGTCTAGTCGCGCGAATGTTGGGCTCACTTTTTTCAGAAGAAAACATTCTGGAAAGCTCGCGAGCGGCTTGCATCCGGAATTTCGGATAGGCTGGAATGCATGACGGCATGACCACAAAGTGCGGTCTGTACTGGAGATCAGGCTGCTCCGCAATAAGAGGTCCCCAGCAAAAAGGGACTCTGTTGGGAGGTGCCCTTGAGTAGTTTTTTTTTTACATAAAATTTGCCCAAAAAGGTTCCTCACATAAGACTTGCTCCCCAGTTGTACATGGATGAAAATCGAACAAGGTTGAAAAAATTATGTTGAACAAAATAATACCGCAAATAAATATAATAGCATAGTGCATTTTGCGTTGATTTTTGCTAAGCAGAATTCCATGCTTATTATTTACACCTGCAAAAAATCACTTGTGGCTCTCACCACTGATTTAATATTGTTTGCTTTAAAAAATGTGTACAATACCTGCATACCAGTTGCACACCACTTTTCTGCCTTGATTGTGAAGAAAAAATGTGCGCGTGATACTCGGGTTACTTTACAGTTGGAAAGTGACCCGCTGCAAGAAGTCCCCGGGGAGTAGGTGGGTCAACTGGACCAATGGGCGAGGGAGTGATCAGGTTTGTTTTTTCTTCTTCAGCATCTTGTATTGACAGCAGGAAAAAACACTATAGTAGACTGATCAGCGTTTATTTTTGTGAAGATTATTCATGTCATTTTCGCACTGTAAAAAAATGATACTGTGTGATGAACACAGCATTCCATAGTTCTAACCAATATTTTCAAAGAATGCAATATTTCTAAAGGGACTAAAAGATTTCTAAAATATGTAGGCTTGCCCGGTCCATGTGTATCTAAATCTGTGTGCTGACTGACCGTCAGCACTCTCTCACCTGTTGGTATATTTTGTACCCCGTCCCCAGGACTTCTTCTCCCGGGTCCCTTTTCGTTGGGGACTTTATCCTCCGGGAATGGAACAACATTTATACAGTATTGAAATATATATGTGACGAAAATGAGGCCGAATCGAAATGTTTCCATGGAGAAAGGTTCTAGGAGCACCCCTCCCCCGATGACTTGCTTGTGTTTTCTTAGGCTATTTCATTAAAATATTAAATTTAACAATAATGATCTACCAAACCCATGCCGTGGTTTTGCTGAAACTGTATAATTTCTGTGAATTTCCTAAAGAAAGCAACTGAGGTTTTATGTGTGCATCAGCCACGCTTTTCCCTTCCAGATACTGTAATTCAATTTTTTGGCGGCCTGTGTAGATTTTTATGGCGATCTCTTGAATTTGGAATGCGGCCTGAAATCGTTCGCGCCGCATATAATCGCGTGAATATGGTTATTCTC